AGAATAGGCTGGTGGCAGAGCATTTTATGGGGCAGTCACAGCCTCAGAATGCAAGTTCCTTTCCTGGTCCAAAATATCCTAAAATGTTCCACAATGGAAAGCGCATGATTTGAAAACTGGAAGAATGGTGAGGAATTGTTGGAGAAGGTGCTGCTGGTCTGTTGCTTTTTAAGTCCTTTATACTGTCTTGCTAGTGAGATTATATTCTACTCCATTTTAATTATGCGGGATATTATTCATAATTGCTGAGAGCATATAGATATGTACCCTTCTTGGCACTTATGTGATATATATTAAAATGTTCAACCCTACTTGGTTCTGGACACTGATTTAAACCAAGTGATGACTCCTTTGTATCAAGTTTGCCTAACAATGGTAGTCTTCAAGACTAACTTTTTAAGGGTATGGCCTAGAGTGTAATTAGACAACCACAGCTGACTCAGCAGTAGAAACATGGCAACTCTACCAGCTACTGACTCAAATTCAACCTCAGGATGCCCGTTAAATTTGAACTTGAGCTGCTATCAGGAAGTGTGGGGTTGAAGATGAACTGAAAGCACTGCAATCTTAATTCATGTTCGCTAACGTGAGTTAACACTTTGTGTGTGCAGTGTAGCTATATCCTAAATCTCAGTCCTGTTGTGGTAGTGGCATACTGCACTTCTGTAATAAAAACAGCCTAATAACTAAGTGCCTTTGAGAGGTGGGGAGTCCTGCTTAGCCACAGGGACAAATGTTTCAAGTGTAGTCTGCGTTCACTTTACGTTTATTTTAGGGCTGTTGATTGCAGTTAACTCGTGATTGATCTCAGTTTTAATCACATTATTTAAACAATAGAATACCAATTGAAATTTATTAAATATTTTTGGAAGTTTTTCTACATTTTCAAATACTTATTTCAATTGCAACACAGACTACAAAGTGTACAATGCTCACTTTGTACTTTTAATCACAAATATTTGCACTGTAAAAATGATAAACAAAAAGTGTTTTTCAGTTCACCTCATACAAGTACTGTAGTGCAATCTTTATTGTGAAAGTGCAACTTTAAAATGTAGGCTTTTTGTTACATCACTGCACTCCAAAAAAAAAAAAAAAAAAGCAAAACTTTAGAGCCTACAAGTCCACTCAGTCCTAATTCTTGTTCAGCCAATCACTAAGACAAACAAGTTTTGTTTACATTTATAGAAGATAATGCTGCCCACTTATTTATAATGTCACCAGAAAGTGAGAACAGGCATTCACATGGGACTTTTGTAGCCAGCATTGCAAGGTATTTACGTGCCAGATATGCTAAACATTCATATGCCCCTTCATGCCTCAGCCACCATTCCAGAGGACATGCTTCCATGCGGAGGATGCTTTTTTTTTTTTTAAATGTTCAAATTGTAACTGAGCTCTTTGAGGGAGAATTGTATGTCTGTCTCCATTTTACAAACATTCTGCCATATATTTTATACTATCGTATTCTTGGATGATTACTCAGCACATCTTCATTTTAAGAACACTTTTGCTGCAGATGTGACTAAACACAAAGGTACCAATGTGAGATTTCTAAAGATAGCTACAGTACTTGACCCAAGGTTTAAGAATCTGAAGTGCCTTCCAAAATCTGAGAGGGATGAGGTGTGGAGTATGCTTTCAGAAGTCTTAAGAGCAACACACCAAGGTGGAGACTACAGAACCAGTCACCAAAAAAGAAAATCAGCCTTCTACTGGTGCCCTCTGACTCATGATGATGAAAATGAACATGTCAATCCACACTGCTTTGGATTGTTATCGAACAGAGCCTGTTATCAGCATAGACACATGTCCTCTGGAATGGTGGTTGAAGCATGAAGGAACATGAGAGAAACCTGTCCATCATGAAGTAGAGGTCTGCTATAGCCCCATCACGACTAGCTGTCCGACATTTCTGCATGTCAGAATGTTCATCTCAGGAAAAATGTAATAGGGTGATGTATACAGTCTATTGCACCCCCCACTCACCTAGCAGTGATGTATTATCCCTACCTCCTGAATACCAGATCAGTGTAAATTAGAATACAGCTCTTGTATCCAAACCTTTAAGGTATCTGCATTTAGTTGTTTAATTTGCAATGGAACTAGAGCTTGAGAATCCGTATAGTCCAATTACTATAGGACGGTGAAGAAATTTGGCAGCATGTGACCTCCAGAAGAAAGGGGAGCGTCTATGTACCAGCAACGCAGATATACATAAGCAACTGTTTTCATGTTCTCTCCACAGGTACTAATGTGGAGAGTGGACTAGATGATACAGCTGAGAGAAGGGAACAGAAGGAGACTCCGCCGATTGGAAGGCATGAGATGCACTGTCCTAGGGATGCGGGTTCCATGACCACCACTCCCAAGAGAAGGAGACGGGTGGTGGTGGTCGGGGACTCTCACCTCAGGGGGACAGAGTCATCTATCTGCCACCCAGACCAGGAAAACCGAGAAGTCTGCTGCTTACCAGGAGTTAGGATTCACGATGTGACGGAGAGACTGCCGAGACTCATCCAGCCTTCGGATCGCTACCCCTTCCTGCTTCTCCACGTGGGCACCAATGATTCTGCCAAGAATGACCTTGAGCAGATCACTGCAGACTATGTGGCTCTGGGAAGAAGGATAAAAGAGTTGGTCTCACCCATCCTCCCGGTGGAAGGAAAAGGCCTGGGTAGAGACCGTCGAATCGTGGAAGTCAACGAATGCCTATGCAGGTGGTGTCAGAGAGAAGGCTTTGAATCTTTGACCATGGGATGGTGCTCCAAGAAGGAGGAGTGGTAGGTAGAGAGAGGCTCCACCTACTGAAGAGAGGGAAGAGCATCTTTGCAAGCAGGCTGGCTAACCTAGTAAGGAGGGCTTTAAACTAGGTTACCTCAGGGCTTTGCTCTCCTTCCCTCGGTGAAGTGGGGATGTGGGATACGGGGAGGAAGCACGAAGCAAATTAGAGGATTGGGCCAAAAGAAATCTGATGAGGTTCAACAAGGACAAGTACAGAGTCCTGCACTTAGGATGGAAGAATCCCGTGCAATGCTACAGACTAAGGACCGAATGGCTGGGCAGCTGTTCTGCAGAAAAGGACCTAGGGGTTACAGTGGATGAGAAGCTAGATATGAGTCAACAGTGTGCTGTTGCCAAGAAGGCCAATGGCATTTTGGGATGTATAAGTAGGGGCATTGCCAGCACATCGAGGGACGTGATCGTTCCCCTCTATTCGACATTGGTGAGGCCTCATCTGGAGTACTATGTCCAGTTTTGGGCCCCACACTACAAGAAGGATGTGGAAAAATTGGAAAGAGTCCAGCGGAGGGCAACAAAAATGATTAGGGGACTGGACCACATGACTTATGAGGAGAGGCTGAGGGAACTGGGATTGTTTAGTCTGCAGAAAAGAAGAATGAGGGGGGATTTGATAGCTGCTTTCAACTACCTGAAGGGGGGTTCTGAAAACGATGGATCTAGACTGTTCAGTGGTGGTAGACGATAGAATGAGGAGTAATGGTCTCAAGTTGCAGTGGGGGAGGTTTAGGTTGGATATTAGGAAAAACTTTTTTACTAGGAGGGTGGTGGAACATTGAAATGCCTCACCTACGGAGGTGGTGGAATCTCCTTCTCTAGAAGTTCCTACGGTCAGGCTTGACAAAGCCCTGGCTGGGATGATTTAGTTGGGGATTGGTTCTGCTTGAGCAGGGGGTTGAACTAGATGACCTCCTGAGGTCCCTTCCAACCCTGATATTCTATGATTCTAAGTCCTTTTACTGGCTGAAGCGCACATTCTGAAAAATCTGTTAAAATGGAAGCATTCAGCTCTGTTTGCCTATCAGAGGCATCAGTTACCTTTCAGAAGTGGTGTACCGAGTCTTCATTTATTCACTCTAATTTAAGGTTTTGTGAGCCAGTAGTACATTTTTAGAAAGTCTTTCTGTAAGGCTATAATATATTACTAAACTATTGTTGTCTGTAAAGTAAATAAAGTTTTTTTTTTAAAATGTTTAAGAAGCTTCATTTAAAATTAAATTAAAATGCAGAGCCGCCAGGACCTGGGCTGCGTGTTACTGACAATCAGCTCCTGTGCTGCCTTTGGCACCCCTCCCATAGGTTGCCCACCCCAGCTCTATCATGTGGCTGCAAGATTTGTATAGATCTCACTTGCTTATTCAAGACTAAGCTTGAATTATGGCAGAATGGAGATGAAGTTGCTTCCCCCTATTTTTTTGTTTACACCTTGTCCTTTTGAAAAAGGTACCCTGGTGTATTTTGCTACACTAGGTACAGGCAGTAGTCTAATATTGTTCGAATTGACTGGGAAGTCTTAATCACAGTGAAAAGAAAAGGAGTACTTGTGGCACCTTAGAGACGAACAAATTTATCTGAGCATAACCTTTTGTGAGCTATAGCTTACTTCAGTGGATGCATCTGATGAAGTGAGCTGTAGCTCAGGAAAGCTTATGCTCAAATAAATTTCGCTCCAGCATCTCTCCTCCCCCCGCACAAGCCCTACGCCTTGGAGGAGGGGAGCATACAGCGCTCCACCGTGGGGGAGGGGAGCAGGGTTTCTCGGCTGGCAGGTGGGGCCCAGCCCGGCACTGATCAGCAGCTCCCACCGCTGGGCTGGGCTCAGTATTGCTTCAAAAGGAGCTCAGCTGCCAGGCCGGTGGCAGGCGCCAGTGCCCAGCCCCGGCTCGGCGGGGCAGCACTGACTGGTCAGTCCAACGGAGCCGGTCACGCGTGCTCTAGCGCCGGCCTCAGGGCAACGGGGTAGCTGAGGGGCCTGGAGACAAGCGGCCCGGCTCCGGGGCCGTCCCTCCAGCGGGTGCCTGGAGCCAGCCACCACAGACCGCGAGCGGCTCGTGCCCGCGCCTCTAGCCCACGCGCCGGCAAGAGCGGCGCTTCCCCCTTCTGTTCCAGGAGGGCGCTAGTTCCTGGCGCGCCCCCGTGCGGATCAGACCATTTACGCTGCGGAGGGAGGGGGGCATTTCACTCGAACGGCTACCACCAGACGTTCTAGCCTGCGGGGGCTCTATAGGGGTTAACGGGTCCCCCTCTGCGGGGCGGTGAGCAGCGCCAGTGCGGGGAGTGCGTCACCCCCGCCCAGGGCGGTTAGAATTGCCGCGGGAAGATGCTCTCTGGGCCGGGAGCGGGTGCCACAGCGTCAGTTACTGAGCGCGCGCGTCCCGCCCCCCGGCGCGCCTGCTGAGCCGAGCCCGGGCGCCGCCGCGCTACTCCCGCCGCTGCCCACCTACAGAGCGCGGACAGGGGCTAGTGGAGGCCGTTCTACTCCTCGGTTGGTCATTTGCCCTCCCCCTTGCCCCCCCCACTAACCGCCTGGTCTCGAGGGGGCTGGGAGGGTAGTGGGGGTGCTGGGGTGGGGCTGGCTCCTTGGAGGGGGCCAGAGCAATGGTGGTGGTGGTTGAGGGGGTGGGGAGTTGGGCGCTGGAGGCGGCTGGGGGTGGGGGGGGCAGATGAGATTATGTCTGGGTCGTTATCCCAGCTTCTTGTTCCAAAACCCCAGCCAGGCCCTGGCCTGTCACATATTTGGCTACATCAGGCGGATGCAAGTGTTTGCCCAGGCTCTTGCCATTCGCATTTGGGGTCTACCCTCAGCTTCCACTTCCACGTTGCAGCCAGCCTTTGCCACCCCCGCTCTCACGCCAGTGTTTGTGTCCGAGGTCGGTGCCTCCCTGGGGGAGTTGTTCCGAAGGAACCCAGGTTCTCCAGGATCATCGGCTGTCCTGCCTTGTTGTTAGTCTGTAGCCTTCCAAAGTGTTTTTTTAGGATGAGGGACTTTCAGAGGCAAAGCTCTTTTTGGACTTACACGTATTGGATGGTGGACTGTGTCCACGTATGTCTTGGATCATGCACCTGTTTTTTGTTTCTTTCTACTGAGGGAATCCTGCCTAATGGTAGTGCAGTCCCTGTGAAGTGGCATAGGGACAGATGGGAAGTCAGTTTCAAGGAATCTGTGATGAACCTACTGATTGATTAAGTTTGCTGTTAGTTTTGTTTGCATGGCTCAAATGTGAGCATACTGGGGCACAGTACTCCGCAGTTGAGAAACACAGGGTGAGATTGGTTGCTTGGAGTCGTTGAAGTTAGTTTCCCATATTATGTTGTCCGGTTTCTGTAGCTCACGAAAGCTCATGCTCAAATAAATTGGTTAGTCTCTAAGGTGCCACAAGTACTCCTTTCTGGAGTACATAATTCATGGAATTCACTTTTGTTTTTCAGCTTCCTTATGTGCTCTTTGAATGTCAGCATTTGGTCTAATGTGACCCCAAGGTACACCGGATGTTTATAATGCTCAAGGATTGTAGTATCCTACATTATCTGGAGTTTTTACTTAGACGGATGGTGTTTCAGCTGGAAGGCACTTACTTATGTCTTACTCGGGTTGGCATTCAGGAGCCATGTATGATGGTCTTCTCCAGGTACACTCAGGGAACCAGTTAGAATGCGTTCAGTGTCCTCAGATCTTTCTGATTGGGTAGCAGCAATGCAAGGACTATCTGCATAAATGAATCTCCGCAAATCAAGGAATTCTGGTTGGTCATTTGTGAAGACATATTAAAAAAGCAAGGGTGACCATACTGAACCTTGGGGCAGTCCATTCCGTTGACTACTCCACTGACGTTTCTGACTATCCATCTTGACAAAGAATGCTGATTCTCAAGCAGGGAAGAGACGACCTGGACCATCTTGCTATTTCTCAAAATTCTTCCCATGTTCAGTGTCTTAAGCCAGTGGTCTCCAAACTAGGGTGCACGAAATGATCCCGGGGGTGTGCGGCAGCAGGAGCGCCACCAGATGGCACTCTGCCGTTTTTGTTCTTCAGCAGCAGCTCTGCACGTCCACGGCTGGTGTTCCTAGGGTGACCAGACGACTGTCCCGATTTTTAGTTCTTTGTCCTGTGTCCCGACTGATGCATGGTTGGGATGCCATTTGTCCCAATATTGCGGCTTTAGCTGCTCCGGCGGTTTTTTTTTTTTTTTTTTGCTTTGGCAACTCAGCTCTGGCCACTTTTTTTTTCTTTCTTCCCCCTTCTTCTGGTCTTCTGGTCTTCTTCTGCCGGCAGCGCGTCTGCGGCAGGTCTTCTTGTCTTCACCCTGGAGGTGCATAAGCCAAAAAGTTTGGAGACCACTGTCTTAAGCTACCGACAGATGAACAAACATGGTCTCTGTAATTTTGTGGGTTTCAAAGCCATCTTGGGTTTATTGGGGTAAGTTTGCAACTTGACCACAGTATTGACGTCCTGGATGGAAATCAGCTTTGTCATCAGGCAGTTGCCCTTCTGCTATTGGCGCTATTCCACCAGTTATGTGCTCATATAGCTTGTAAGCTGAGCAGAGTAGGGATAGTTGTTCGTAGCTCTTTGCAATTAGGGTCTTCATGTTGTTTGAGTAGCACAACCACTTTAGCTTATCTCCACAGCCTGTGTATCTGCGTTGTCTCCATTCAAGAATTAAAGACATCAAGTAGCCACTTCTGTACTCTTGTCCAAAAATGTAGTAAAAGTTCATGAGATGTCCAGCTGCCTTTCAACACTTCAGAGTTTTTGAGACTGTTGTCCACTCCGTGATGTTAGACTGCTCATTGCGGATTTTTCTGATCCTGAGGAGCAAACAAAGTACCTGCTTGACTTGTTTCATTGTATGCTTTGCTTTTTGGGCTGGTTTACCATTTAGGATGAGTTGTTGTGCCAGCTGGTTGAGAGAGACTTCGGTAATCCACTTTGATTGTTGTCCCCTAGGGTTCAGCTAACAAATGATGGCCTATGGTTTTTTTGGCACCTTAGAGACTAACCAATTTATTTGAGCATGAGCTTTTGTGAGCTACAGCTCACTTCATCGGATGCATACCGTGGAAACTGCAGCAGACTTTATATATACACAGAGAATGAGCTATTACCAGTAGGAGAGTGAGTTTGTGTGTGTATGGGGGTGGGGGGGATGTGAGAAAACCTGGATTTGTGCAGGAAATAGCCCGACTTGATTATGTAAAGAGTTGTCACTTTGGATGGGCTAGCACCAGCAGGAGAGTGAATTTGTGGGGGGGGGGGGGGGTGGAGGGTGAGAAAACCTGGATTTGTGCTGGAAATGGCCCACCTGATGATCACTTTAGATAAGCTATTACCAGCAGGACAGTGGGGTGGGAGGAGGTATTGTTTCATAGAATCATAGAATATAAGGGTTGGAAGGGACCCCAGAAGGTCATCTAGTCCAACCCCCTGCTCAAAGCAGGACCAATTCCCAGTTAAATCATCCCAGCCAGGGCTTTGTCAAGCCTGACCTTAAAAACCTCTAAGGAAGGAGATTCTACCACCTCCCTAGGTAACGCATTCCAGTGTTTCACCACCCTCATAGTGAAAAAGTTTTTCCTAATATCCAATCTAAACCTCCCCCACTGTAACTTGAGACCATTACTCCTCGTTCTGTCATCTGATACCATTGAGAACAGTCTAGAGCCATCCTCTTTGGAACCCCCTTTCAGGTAGTTGAAAACAGCTATCAAATCCCCCCTCATTCTTCTCTTCTGCAGGCTAAACAATCCCAGCTCCCTCAGCCTCTCCTCATAACTCATATGTTCCAGACCCCTAATCATTTTTGTTGCCCTTCGCTGGACTCTCTCCAATTTATCCACATCCTTCTTGAAGTGTGGGGCCCAAAACTGGACACAGTACTCCAGATGAGGCCTCACCAATGTCGAATAGAGGGGAACGATCACGTCCCTCGATCTGCTCGCTATGCCCCTACTTATACATCCCAAAATGCCATTGGCCTTCTTGGCAACAAGGGCACACTGCTGACTCATATCCAGCTTCTCGTCCACTGTCACCCCTAGGTCCTTTTCCGCAGAACTGCTGCCTAGCCATTCGGTCCCTAGTCTGTAGCTGTGCATTGGGTTCTTCCGTCCTAAGTGCAGGACCCTGCACTTATCCTTATTGAACCTCATCAGATTTCTTTTGGCCCAATCCTCCAATTTGTCTAGGTCCCTCTGTATCCTATCCCTCCCCTCCAGCGTATCTACCACTCCTCCCAGTTTAGTATCATCCGCAAATTTGCTGAGAGTGCAATCCACACCATCCTCCAGATCATTTATGAAGATATTGAACAAAACCGGCCCCAGGACCGACCCTTGGGGCACACCACTTGATACCGGCTGCCAACTAGACATGGAGCCATTGATCACTACCCGTTGAGCCCGACAATCTAGCCAGCTTTCTACCCACCTTGTAGTGCATTCATCCAGCCCATACTTCCTTAACTTGCTGACAAGAATACTGTGGGAGACCGTGTCAAAAGCTTTGCTAAAGTCAAGAAACAATACATCCACTGCTTTCCCTTCATCCACAGAACCAGTAATCTCATCATAGAAGGCGATTAGATTAGTCAGGCATGACCTTCCCTTGGTGAATCCATGCTGGCTGTTCCTGATCACTTTCCTCTCATGCAAGTGCTTCAGGATTGATTCTTTGAGGACCTGCTCCATGATTTTTCCAGGGACTGAAGTGAGGCTCACTGGCCTGTAGTTCCCAGGATCCTCCTTCTTCCCTTTTTTAAAGATTGGCACTACATTAGCCTTTTTCCAGTCATCCGGGACTTCCCCGGTTCGCCACGAGTTTTCAAAGATAATGGCCAATGGCTCTGCGATCACAGCCGCCAGTTCCTTCAGCACTCTCGGATGCAACTCGTCCGGCCCCATGGACTTGTGCACGTCCAGCTTTTCTAAAAAGTCCCTAACCACCTCTATCTCCACAGAGGGCTGGCCATCTCTTCCCCATTTTGTGATGCCCAGCGTAGCAGTCTGGGAGCTGACCTTGTTAGTGAAAACAGAGGCAAAAAAAGCATTGAGCTTTTTCATATTCTCTGTGTATATATAAAGTCTGCTGCAGTTTCCACGGTATGCATCCGATGAAGTGAGCTGTAGCTCACGAAAGCTCATGCTCAAATAAATTGGTTAGTCTCTAAGGTGCCACAAGTACTCCTTTTCTTTTTGCGAATACAGACTAACACGGCTGTTACTCTGAAACCTATGGTTTTTTTGTTGTTATGACACACGTTTGTTGTTTCAATCAGTTTGCTCCAGCTGTTGCACTGCTTCTTTCTCTTTTTTTTCTGAGCCCAGTAGTTCACTGATCTGGGTCAAATAGTCCTAAATATCTTTTATATTGTTTGAATGTTTGTTCTGAAAGCCCAGGTACATATAATGTCTGACATACCTTGGGGATGTGTTTTTGGGCAGTCTTCCACATTAGAGAGACACATTCTCTGTAGTGCTTTTGTGTTGGAGTAATAATATAGATGGATCTATCCAATTTGGAGGTAAAGTTTCTCCAGTCAGACTTTCTGATATTGAATTTCAGCAGGTACTATGTTTTCCTGCATAAATGTTATATGTGGTCTGTGTTGTGATCATGGGATTGCTGCCATGACCTCCTTTCTGAAGTAGCATGTATTTTCAGAGGTGATAAAGGGTAGGCTGGGATTGTATTCCTTGTTCCATCATTTGTTTTGGAAGGCACATTTAGCCTTGAAGTCATACAGCAAGGTCAGGTTGTTTGTTGACTTCCACTTCTTAACTTTTTCCACATTGTTATCATTGCTGGAGTATCCCCAGATTGTGTTGTGACTGTTGAATTCACCTGTGACAAAGCTTGTTTTTTTTTCTGGCAGGAGAAAGTCAGTAGACCATACCAGCTGTTCACTTGGTGGCTTGTAAACAGAAACTACTGCTATTTGGTCGAATTCATCCTTAAGTTCTCTTATACCATGGTGTTTCACAGCAGTGTTTTTTACCAGTCTTTTGTCACATACAAGTACTGTGTTACCAGGGGCTGCTTTCAACCTTTGCAGCAATGCGCATGACAGGAATGTTTAGTGCTATTGTCTTTCCCTGTCAAAGATATGAGTTTAAGCCAGAAGGGACCACAGGATCATTTAGTCTGATCGCCTGTATATTACAGACCATCAGTGCCACCTCATGAAACACAACAACTGAAATGAGGTATTACAGCCCACAGGAAGGACTAAAGCATACCAATGCCCGAGGCCCCCTCAGTGGCAGGGACATGATTAAGTGAAATGCTTCAGAGGAAGGAGATCCAAACTCCCACACCCAGAATATGGGCGGGGGGGGAAATCCCTTCCTGACCCCCCTGCAAGTGTCTCTTGCAGGCACGTGATATCTGCTTTATTCCAGACAGGAATGTCAGCCTTCTCTGCACAGAATCCTTACACATTGAAAGTGACTATTTCCTTTGGCTGATGCTTTCAAAGGGGCTGTTTATGTCAAGGACTATATCTGGGGGTGGAAGCGGTTGGCTGCTGGGTGTTGGAGGCAGGGCTGGTATGTGTGTCAGATATGTTCACAACAGGACCTTGCTAATCTCCCATTGCAACTAACTATGTGAGAAGCCAATCTCCCAATATGCACTGAGACCAGAATAGAAGGGGGTTGAGTGATGGGGAAAGGGCTGGGGAGGGGAAGAGAAGGGAGGGGGGAGACGGGACTAACTGTTTTCTTGCCTGGCTAAATTTGAGGTACTAGCTGTCTGTGGCAAAATCGCCCTGCCATCCTGGCCCCTGCAGCAGCAGCTTGGATGAGCTCTCCCCTCACTCCCCTGGGCCCCACCTTGATTCTGTGGTGTGCTGGTATTGATGTACAGGTAACTTTATAGACACACATTGCTTTCCATGTACTCTTTTTGTGAAGGACAGGTCCCACATTAAATGGAGACTAACATGTCATTTCAGAAAAGGCATTTGAATACAAAACTTCTGTAAGTGACATGGATAAGAAAAGGAAGATGCATAGTAAAAGCCACATGCCTGCTCTGTAAGTAAATAATGCTGTGAATTTTCCTTTACCAATGAACTCCAATGTCTTTAAAGTGAACTGAAACACTTCACCTGCCTACACCTAAACTGAGACCACTGAGGCTAAGATTGTTGTTTTTTTTTTATGGGTGCCTAAAGTCAATGGGTGCTGCTAAGTGCTCAGCACTTTTGAAAATCAGGCAATTTATTTCGGAGCCTTATGGCCTGATCCAGTGGCTTTTTCGTTATAGGCATGGGGCAGCCCACGTACATTCAGTTGCTGAGTCAGGGCATAAATAAGGTATTAAGATCCCTGTCTTGCAATAGGCTGTGCTTGGGTGAACTGCTGTATGCATGCATAGCCTTACTGACTTCTGTGGGGCTCTCCTACAGTGAAATGTAGGATCAGAACCTAACTTTAGTACCCATTTTAAAAAATCTTGACCTTTGTTGTTTTTTCAGTAGTTGACAACTTAATTACTACCTCTCACAGATATCCGTGCTATCACCAGGTTTTAGATAAAACACACTACTCTGAATTCAAACTTTGGAAGACAAATAAAAAAAGACTTTCAGCAATTTTACTTAAGTATAAATTTGAAGTCTATATGTTATATTAATGATTTGCAACTGAAAGCATTTATTAATGTAAATATTTTAACACTGTGTGGTAACAGTTCTCTTTTGCAAATGGAGAAACTATTAAATGCTGTGTGTATATGTATATACAGTAGTGTGAAAATATAGGTTTTGTACATTAATTTTTTAAGCACGAAACAGAACTTTTTCAGACAACATATTTCTCTTAAACTAGCTAATTTTTAAAATTGAAATTGCCTGGCAGATATTAAGTGCGCTCATCTTAGGAAACAAACTAACAGAAAACCCTGCTCAAACAATATTGTCATTAACTAGTGGAGGTAATGGACCATTTGTAGGAAAGAGGTATATTACAAGTGCCCCAATTAGCACGACATTCAGGTCATCAGTCAAATTGAAAATTCTATTACAAATCCACAGATAATAATTTTCAGTGACCTGCCAACTATGAATAGTCTTATAAGGGTTGACTGTTCAGGAGTTAGCATAGTGTATTAAGATATTTTTGATTATTATGGCTTGTGTTCAAATTTAATTTGTTTTAACAAAAAAGCGCTAGTTTGTTTTTTCCCTTTCATGTATGAAATTCACTCTGAAACGCTATTTAATCATCATCTGTAACAGCAGTAGAGTTTTCTTTTGGGGGGGTAGTAGAAGTGATCCTAAATTTAATGCAAAATATCCAGTTGCTTAATTTTGGGCTAAATTGTGATTTGGATGAGACACTCAACACTATGCAGGCTACCTGGGCCTTCGGTTTGGTCAGGTAGAAGTAAGCAGGGTTACTCTCTCACTTGCTTTTTTTCTGTAGGATGTGGGTAGGGAATAGAAGGAGAGATATGGCTCTAATCCCCACTAATAACTAGCCAGACTAGTTGAACCAGGAAAAGAGCAGTTAACTCCTTCCTGACAAAGGCCCTCTGTAAACTGTTTACCCTTTGGAGAAACAGTAACGCTTGGGTTTATGTCATTCATGCCCCTCCTCTTATTAAGTATTGCCTAAATAGAAGTCTGTTGAGGAGTGAAAAGTAAATATATAATATTAAATTTATATTTGAGCATTTCCTTTGTCATTTGGGTTAAGCTCTGCTACTGATAAGAAGCTAGACACAGGTAATGTAATAATGTAATGTAGCCCTGATTCTGATACAGGAATGAAGAGAAGAAGAGAGAGTAGGTTTATAGTGGAGTTATTTTTAAATAACTTCAGTATATTCAACTGTACATTTAATTTCTTTTATACATATTTAATAGTGAGAAGACCTCAAAGAAAAAATTGGAAAGAAATAAACTGGATGTAAGTTACCTTAATTTTGTAGTAAATTAAAAAGAATAAGGTATAAATGTGCCATGCTGTTGAAGGTCTAGATCAGGGGTGGGCAAACTACAGCCTGCGGGCCGGATCTGGCCTGCAGCTGTTTTTAAGCCGGCCCTCAAACTCCCGCTGAGGAGTGGGTTCTGGGGCTTGCCCCACTCTGGTGCTCTAGCAGGGTCAGGGGCCGCTCCTTGCAGCTCCTGGAAGCAGCAGCATGGCCCCCATCTGGCTCCTATGTGCTCCAATGGCCCCCTCTGGCGCCCCAATGGGAGCTTCAGGGGCAGTGCCTGTGGACGGGACATTGTGCAGAGGTGCCTGGCCGCGCCTCCGTGTAGGAGCCGGAGAAGGGACATGCTGCTGCTTCCGGGAGCCGCTTGAGGTAAGTGCCTCCCAGAGCCTGCACTCGTGAGCCTCACCCCAAAACCCTGCCCCAGCCCAGAGCCCCCTCCCACCCTCCGAACCTGTTGATCCCAGCCCGGAGCACCCTCTTGCACCGCAGCCCCACCCCAGAACCTGCACCCCTAGCTGGAGCCTATACCCCTTCCTGCACCCGAACCCCCTGTCCCAGCCCTGATCTGCCCTCCAAACCCCTCTGTCCCAGCCCAGAGCACCCTCCTACATCCCAAACTCCTCAAGCCAGTGCTTCCAGCCTGGACCCCCCTCCCTGCACCTATAACTCCTCATTTCTGGCCTCACCCTGGAGCCTGCACCCCCAACCAGAGCCCTCACCCCTCCCCACACCCGAACCCCGATTTTGTGAGCATTCATGGCCCACCATACAATTTCTATTTCCAGATGTGGCCCTCGGGCCAAAAAGTTTGCCCACCTGGGTCTAGATCCTGAAAGCTAACCCTTCTATGTGGGCATAGGGGTCTGGATGCATGGATGAGCTTTCATCCTCTGGGAACCGTGTTTTGTAATCTCACGGCTTTGCAGCTTTTGTGAGAGTGATGTGCCTTGTGGTAAAATGGACAGTTTGCTTGAAAATGTGATGCTAGTTTTCAAATCCTGGCAAAGATTTGATAAGTGTCTCATGATAAAAATAGAGATCATCCAAAACAGGAATATTTAATGCATTTATTTTCATTGCCATAATGAAAACCTTAAAGTTTAACTTGGGGAATATAGTTTAACTATATTATGCTTACAGAATAGAAATGCAGGTGATTGATTGTCCCTTCATTCCCTGATCTTCATTTGCACCTGCACAACTCTCACTGAAATCAATGGGAGTTACAAACATAAAACTGGCAGGCTGGTTGGGCCTCCAAATTCAGCCTACAAGTGACTTTTAAACATGCCTTTTCCTCTGTTCTCCTAATATAGAGCAACTTGTGCTGAATGATCTACTTACATTTGTTGTTTGGAACTGTCAGCAAATTAAAATTATTTAATTTTTTAACGTGCAAGTTTTGCGGCATTTGGAAATCCATGACTAGAGCACACAATAGTAATATGAATAACAAGGGGGGTGGCTGAAAATGTCCCCCCCCCTCCTTGTCTGAAGGAAGGAAAAAAAAGGCAGATTTTTTAAAAGAGACTAGTTCTTAGAATGTGCTGATCTTTTATGTGTCTAAAGTAACACTTTTACAAGTTTTATAATGTACAACTAAAACTAATGTTATAGCATAATACAAAATAGTAATATGTATCACTTCACTTTACCTACATTTTCTCACAAAAAATAAGTGTAAAGAAGAAAATGCATGCATGTCACCTTTCAAATGTTTTGCACCATAGCTCAATGTCATGGATTCTATTTTAAATTTGAATTCTAAATACTATTTTAAATTTGTTGTCATTATATTGAATTTGTTTAACACTGGAAAGTTGGATGCAGAAGACATTGCTTTAATACCCACCCAGGAATACAAAACCAAGTCCCATCCTCGCAGTAAATTACTTCCATGTGAGGAACCAGATGTCTCAAGGATATTGAAGATAACTGAGACTGGGCAAGTTGAGGAGCCCGATGATTCATTTGGTTAGTATTTAACTTTTTAAAATTGTTTAATACATTATTTTTATAAGTTATCTTGCACATACGTTATTTTAAAAACCATAAACAAAAGCCTCAGTGTCACTCCTTGCCTATGGGAATGAAAAGGGAAAATTACCTCTTTGTTTTGGGCTTTTGCACTCTTTAATTTTGAGTAGTGCTTATATATCACAGTGAAAGGTGCTATATAAAAGTTTTAAGTTTGGTAAATTCCAGATAGTAACCCTGGAAGTACATAGTAGAACATCTCTTGTGTTATATAAAACAGCAGTGTTTTCATGGTTCTTGGGTGTTTGTCATCTTCCTCCATTCTTGTGCTGTAGGTGGTGAGAACTGTGAAATGAAACTGTTCTGCAATCCTAAGAATATATGTGGAGATATTTTTAAACATTTGCAAGGAGAAGAAGCATTGTCCTGTCACTTTCAAATATCCTTAAAAGGAAAGATCTCATTCTCAACCATATATACATTATTTTCTGGTGAAATATTAAAACCACTTTTCATGCTTCATATGGGGCCCATTGATAGATACCCCTTGCTCGCCCCAAGTTTCTTCTTCTCAAAAAAAATTAAAGTGTATTTTTAAATAAGGCTTAATTTGAAAAAGACACACAGTAGACATAAAAATCATAACAATGCCCAATTATATGAAATCTAGCAAAACGATGCTAGTGCAGTCAACTGCTTTGCCTAAGCAGACAAAGTTGCAAACTTCCATGTTTTTTTTTTCTGTTATATATAGATCACCCTTTACACAGCACTGCTGTAGACGCTGGTGGGAATGTGGAATTGCAGGAAGAGGAACACGACATGTCAGCTAGTCATTCATCTGATTCATCTCCACAAGGGAAAAATGCAGAAACAAGGTACAGTGAAAATAAAATATTTTCCAGTCCTGGAAAACTATTAGACAATGTTTGGAAAACTTAAGCTTGCCTTTGTAGGTTGGTATGATCTCCGGATCATCCCATTATTTCAAGAAAGACTTTAAATGGTGAAAAATGTCCTCATTGTATCTCAATTGCTGTCTTTTAAAATGACCCTGCTTAAAACTGTCCAGGTAAGAAGCCAAAGCCCAAATCAGTCACTAGGTCGGAGGAAAAGGAATTCTGGCTTGTAAATTATAAGCAGTACATGGTTGGCATAATGCATCTGTGTATGTTAAGACTTTCTTACTGTAATGTGGGTGTCAGGATTGTGCTGGAGGAAGTGAAAGGCTTTTAAAAAAATTTGTGATCCATTAGTGGAACTTCTATTTGCAAATGACTACTATTCAGCAAAAAGGGCAAAGAAAATATTAGAATAAACAATTGAAAGGGAATCTAATTTGCTTTGATTCTGATATAGTTTCTTTGACCTGAGAAAATTTCTCTTCATTTCAAATTATTGTAAAACAATTTTTGTGTATACACTTCTGCTTTGTTAAAACAGATTTGGTATAAATATGAAGTAATGCTTGCTTGAGTGAACTTATCAAGACCAAAAAAATAGTGGGTTTGATCTTTCAGGGAACCTTTTGCATTCCTGTTGAACTCCTGACGATCATTTTCCCCCAGCCCCTCCATCTTTATGGCCGCTCAGCACCAGGCTGAACTCTTTCAGAGCCTTTTAACTCTATTTCTTAAACTGACAGTGGGGGTTGCTGTTGAGGGATATGTGGCTGCTGCAGCACTTCTTGAAGCTGATGACCTGGGAATTGAAAACTGAGAAGAAATTAAACCTGGGATTCCTGCAAGGTCGTACAGAACCACCTCCATTAGGTCACCAATGAACCCTTGGTTTTGTTGTTTAAATAAAGCATGTTGAGGACAAATGTGCAACCCATTGGTTAGCATGTAATGGGTTACACATGGATACAGATTTTTTTTTTTTTAAATTATGTGTCAGGAAAGTTCTTATTGCTCATCTTTATTCTAGAAAAAATCACTGTAGCTTGAAAATGACTGAAGATAACAAATCAGAGACAGAGGATTCTGAAGATGAATCCCTGAAGGAGAATAAGGTACAGAACAAGGTTTGTAAGAATATATCAATAACTTTTATTTAGAACATATTCTATGCCATATTCAGATTAGACAGAGGAAGGGGTTTGACACTCCTTAGCACTTGTATAGGAATTTTAATCTGAAGAGCATCATGGATAATTAATCTTCAGAACACTCCTGTGAGATGGGCAAGTATTAAGTGTAATGCCCAAGGACACTGATGAAGTGTCAGAGCAAGGATTAGAACTCAGGAGTTTCTGGATTCTACCAGCCCATTAGTCCATGTCTTCCTTACTTGATGTGCAGCAGGTTTTTTCCTTAACGAAAAGATAGTCTGTTTACTTATGAAATATATTGTCATTCTTAAAGAAATATAGATAAGGAATAATTCTTTACTACTTATCCAGTATTAAATTTACAGCAGACTTGTGAGAGTAGAAGTTTGAGTTAATTACTAAAACTATTTTTTAAAATGTATATTGGTGCTAAACAACTTGAAATGCTTGTGAGTGGCTTTCCTTCAAAGCGCTTACTCATTGCATTTCTACCACACTTAGTCTCTTGATATAAGTTCTCTTGTCACATTTTCTAATCTTATCTTCTGTCAGTGTGGAAGCTCTTTATTAAAGTGGCAGATTTCTGCCAGTCAGTTTTTAATGTGAGAAGCTATGCAGTAGTGCACCATACAAGTCTTACATATTGACCTGACTGGTGTGTTAAATTCACTATGCTCACACAATCCTGGTGTCTTTCATTCCGAGAACTTCCTGTGTGGAGCTGTACTGTGTAGTTATTGCTGGCCTGCTGGAAAAGAGAGTCAAAACTACATACTTCTGAACACTAAAAGTTAACATTAGTGTGAATAACTTTTTTTAAGACCTTCAAATGTAATTTTGAACCATCACCGGATACTGTAGTAGTTTTGATTGCTCATGACATCTCAAACTTTCTTTAAAAGTTCTTTCTATAGTTTTAAAGCAGTAGAGTTGAGATGTTTCAGACTGTTACTGTTCATGCCTTTTTTTCTTTTGCATTTTTAAAAATCTGAAGATTTACTTTAAATTATTCTTTATATAGATATTAGGAAACTCCAAGTCCAGTGTGGAGGAATCGAAGTTACCATCTGCATTAGCACTGAGGAATAGCTCTTCAGAAAGCAGCATATCAAATAAGGTTACAGATTTAGTGAAGAAGTTGAATGCACAAAAGGTAAACGTCCCAACTACAGATTCCCCAAATCTATCAAAAATATCTCTAAAATCTTGTTTCTCCTTAGAATTAAGCACTAAAGCACATAATGATGCCTCTCATCTGTTAAAAAGTGGGGGGAATGTTTGTATTCAGGAAAGAATAATAGTTTTGGGTGTGAGGGGGTAGGACAGAAGTAAGACTGAACACAGAGGTCTTGTCTACTCTAGTATTTCTCTTCAAAATACTCTCACCTTGTGCTTCATGTGTGATACCTGTCAAAGCCCTGGTCTACACTAGGACTTTAGGTCGAATTTAGCAGCGTTAAATCGATGTAAACTTGCACCCGTCCACACGATGAAGCCCTTTATTTCGACTTAAAAGGCTCTTAAAATTGATTTCATTACTCCACCCCTGACAAGTGGATTAGCGCTTAAATTGGCCTTGCCGGGTCGAATTTGGGGTCCTGTGGACACAATTCGACGGTATTGGCCTCCGGGAGCTATCCCAGAGTGCTCCATTGTGACTGCTCTGGACAGCACTCTCAACTCAGATGCACGATTGTTTGCCATTGCTCTGACGCGGGGAGGGGCGACTGATGACACGGCTTACAGGGTTGGCTTACAGGGGTTAAAATCAACAAAGGGGGTGGCTTTACATCAAGGAGTATTTCAGGCAGGACTTCACGGAGGGTTCCAATAAGAAATGGTGCACCTAAGTTATTGTTCTTATTGGAACAAGGAGGTTAGTCTGGCCTCTGATTGATACATGGCTAGATTTACCTCGCTGCACCTTCTCTGTGAGTGACTGCAGTGTGACCTAGAGGAATGAGTCCCCTAGACGGGGGGGCTAGGGGGTGTTTGCAAATGAGTACAAAAGAAATCTGGTCTATTTCTTGTTTTGATCCACTCCATCTATCTTTTACATCTTTGGCTGGCAGCAGATGGTGCAGAAGGACTGCATGCCATCCACATCTCATGGCTGCTTGGCAGAAGATGGTACAATAGGACTGCTAGCCATCCTCATCTCTTGCCTGGCCGGCAGAAGATGATGCAATAGGACTGCTAGCAATCCGTGTAACTGCCTGCTCACCATAAGATGGTTCAATAGGACTGACTGCAGGACTAAAGAGAATGACCTGATCAAGTCACTCCAAATTTAGTCCCTGCGCTCATGTCTGCCCAGGCGCTCCTGATCGACCTCACAGAGGCGACCAGGAGCACCTCGGACATGACGATGATGGCTACCAGTCCTATTGCACCGTCTGCTGCCACAAGGCAATGGGCTGCTGCTGCTGTGTAGCAATGCAGTACCACGTCTGCCAGCACCCAGGAGACATAGGGTGACGGTTACCTGAGCGGGCTCCATGCTTGCCGTGGTATGGCATCTGCACAGGTAACTCAGGAAAAAAGGCGCGAAACGATTGTCTGCCCTTGCTTTCACGGAGGGAGGGAGGGAACAGGGGCCTGACGATATGTACCCAGAACCACCCGCGACAATGTTTTAGCCCCATCAGGCTTTGGGATCTCAACCTAGAATTCCATTGGGCAGCGGAGACTGCAGGAACTGTGGGATAGCTACCCACAGTGCAACACTCCGGAAGTCGACGCTAGCCTCAGTACTGTGGAAGCACTCCACCGAGTTAATGCACTTAATGCACTTAGAGCATTTTCTGTGGGGACACACACACTCAAATATATAAGACAGATTTCTAAAAAATTTTCTATAAATTCGACCTAATTTCGTAGTGTAGACATACCCATAGTTCAAGGCAACTGCACCTGTGATCCCTCAAGGCCTCAGTGCTAAGCTTCTGGCTTCTCAGCTGTCCCCTCTCTTGGGCAGAGATCCACACCTCTCTCCCTCCTGACTGAGGTTTTTCCAGATGTCACAGTTCCTTGCCTACACTGTGATATCCCCAGCAAGCCAAACTGCTTAAATGGCCAGTGTCTGCGCTTTGCTTTCTCTCCAGAAGTTATGCCCAGTGTATTGCGTGCAGTCATAGGTTACCGCACAATTCTTTATAAGAAGTACATTTATTCTCAAGGGGAAAGCATTACAGAAAAAACATTAAAAACAATAAAAGAACCTACACACATGCTGAAAAGCTTACCAGAGGTCACCCCAACTCCAACCTTAGGCTCAGTTGGTGTTAGTCCTTCAAAACCCACAAGTGGGTAATCCCTGTGGCTACAAGTTTGTAACTGTCTCAGATTCAGAACCAGAACCACCATGAATAGGTGGGCCTTCAATTGGGCCTTTGATCTTGGTCTCATGCAACAGGTGATCAGCAGACAATGGCCCACTCCTCAGGACCCAGCTTCAAAAGGCTGGGATTTGCATAACCAGATGTCCCTAGAGCAGTGGTTTTCAAACTTTTTTTCTGGCGACCCAGTTGAAGAACACTAATGTCCATGACCCAATGGAGCTGGGGCAGAGGGATTTGGGGTGTGGAAGGGCTTAAGGTTGGGGTGAGGACTGCGGGGTGGGGCTGGGAATGAGGGGTTCAGAGTGTGGGAGGGGGCCCTGGACTGGGGGGTCAGGACTCTTGGCTGAGGGTGCAGACTCTGGGCTGGGGCCAGGGGTGAGGGGTTTGGGGTGTAAGAGGAGACTCCGAGTTTGGGAATGGGGGTCAGGGCAAGGGATTGTGGTGCGGGCTTACTTTAGGTGGGTCCCGGTCAGCGGCACAGCAGGGATGCAGAAGCAGGCTTCTTGCCTGTCCTGGAAGCGGCCAGCAGCAAGTCCGGCTCCGCATGGCTCTCGCACACAGGCACTGCCCCACCCCTGCAACTCCCATTGACTGGTAACCGACCAATGGGAGTGCGGAGCTGGTGCTCGGGATGGGGGCAGCAGGTGGAGCCCCATGCCCCCCCCCCCCCCCCCCAAACCTAGGAGCTGGACCTGCTGCTGGCTGCTTCCAGGGCACAGAGTGGTGTAGGAACTGGTAGGGACTAGCCTGCCTTAGCCAGGTAGCACTGCCAACAGGACTTTTAACAGCCCAGTCGCAGGTGCTGACCAGAGCTGGCGAGACCCAGTGTCTTAGATTCCGCCACCCAATTCTGGGTCGTGACCCACGTTTTGAAAACCACTGCCCTAGAGAATCCCCAGGAAAACCACTTAACACTTTTTGTTCTGAAAGTCTCTTCTTATCTGATGCTTTGTTCAGTATAGTCCTCTGAACCCCCAGGTGCCACATCTTGACCCCTCAAGAGGTTACATACACTCTTGGACCACAATAATAAATAAACCATTCATTTAATACAGTGGACCCAAAAAATACGTTAACTTCAATAAGGTCTCCCAATAATATTGCCAACTGCATTTCTCTTCAAAATATTCCCACTGATGTAACTTTACCAGTGATATCAACAGTGGGAATGCTAATGCAGTCTGGCATCTCTTGTTCATTGGCAGCATTATCAATGTTGTCAAAACTCTGCACAGAGGAGATCTAGACTACGCAGTTGTTAAAATGCCAGTGGTTGTTCTACACTAGTGTTACTACCAAGTGCTATCATAAGAAATAGTTAATTATAATTATGGGTTTAAAATAGTTGAACGTAATTGTTCTTGAAAGTTAATCTGCTGCATTTTCTATTGTAGAAGCCCAAGAACGGTGCTAAATCCCATGTGAAACCAAAGAAGTTTTTGCAAAAGACTGCATTACATCCTTCTGGTAAAAGGAATTTGATATTTTATCTCTTCATAATTTTAAACTTCCTTTAACTTTTCCTCATTAGCCATTAATGAGTTTTCCTAAAAATAGTTTTGATATCTGGTATTTTGCAGCCCAGTTACGCTAGAAATGGGAGCCTTATATAATTGGAATAGGAGATTCTTGTATAGTTGGACTCAGCACTCACTCACTAGCACTGTAACATCATGAGATACTGGGTTTCAAGATTGTGACCATTTTAGGTATAGACAAACTATTTGATGGTTTTTAAATGTTTTTCTGACTTCCTCTGGATCCTGCCCGGTTGGAGTTATGCATTTAGCTTTATATATGGAGATAAATAAAATATGTTCCCAGTTCAGTTCTTAAGAACCCTCTAAAACATTCATAAAGTAGTTTCCCCTTAACAAATGCAATATATACATGGTATGATATAAAGACTTCATCAGCATGGGTTTGGGAGGGCTGTATTACTCATAGTGGCCGGGAGTGGTTTATCCCAAATAAGTGTCTATATACCCTTCGTACAGCAACACTGTGTATGTTTCAGAAAAACTATAAACTTTAAGCTTTATATAAAATGTCTTGAGTGTAATAATGCAGACTTTCTTGCAAAGTAAAATATGTGCATCACACCTTGTATATTTCAGAATTTTGTATTTCACTACTGAGCAGAGTTGGTGACATTCAGAATGTTTCATGTAAAAGTAAAATTTATTTTTAAGTCACCAATGTACCTTAGTTATTTATGCTCAACCCACCTTAAGATTTATATTACTTTTTCACACATTGTTTTAATTTAAAAATTGCATAATCAATTTACCTATTTACAAAATACCTGGCATATATCTTAGACAAGTGAAATAATTCCCATTTTAGAAAATTCTCATTTGTTAAAAGATTAATACACAAGTTAGTTTGTGTAGCATTTAATTCTTTTAAAACAAAAATTTTAATTTTCATATTTATTTTAACTAGCCATTTATTGTGTTTCAGCTGATAATAGCCCATGTTCTATACAGATTTGGTGCCCAAAAGGGCTGAAAAGATTTTCCCAAGATATTATAGAATTGGATGTTGTTCTGGCTGAGTTTGAGAAGACAACTGCAGACTACAAGTAAATATCTTGCTTTCCTTGAACTGAGAACTCCAAATTGACACAAAATATTTAGTTTGCTTGAAACCAGACAGCTTGGAGCACTAGGTAATGCAATACAATGTAGGGGCAATCCTAATAGATTATTGGGGGATATATTCGATGACTGCCTATAGGTTTCTGTGATACAAATGGCAGTTTCTTTAAGATGTGATCCTAGGTAGGTTGGCCTCAGAGATTTAGTGTAGCCCAAATATAAATAATATTGCCATTATGGATAGCTATTGTGATTGGGGAGCTATTTCTGAACACGAAATATCTCAGTATCTGCTTGAAGATGCACATTTATCTATCAAGACCTAGGAGAGGCTGGAAATATCCTACATTTGTTAAGCAGGTTTCATGGGCTCTGTTTGTTAGATTTCCATTGAAGCATTCAGCTTTGAGGCTCACTTAATATGCAATTTTTGCCTTATCAGAGTTTTTATGTTCTCAATCTGCTGTTTAGGTCTCTTAATCAGAATTGAAGAGTTTATTCAATATAAAACATCTATCCTGTAGTTTAATTAATAACTGTATAACTTCTTAATCCCTAGCACTTTTGAAAAAATACTAGTATTGGTTCCACAAGTTAGTTAAATTCTAGATATTAGACTTGCAAGCTTGGGTGGATTTGCCCTTAAAAAGAAGAGTCCTTCATGATGCACCATTTCACTAGGCAAGTTAGAAAAAGTGCAGAAGGGAAGCCCTATATGTAGTTTATTATTGGCATTGCCTCCTGATGCCCAGAAAGTCTCATTACTCTTAAAATCCCAGTGTTAATTTCTGTGGACCTTGCCTCGCTGAAGAATAGGAAACTTTCCTTTCTTCAAGTAGCAATGTCCAAAGAGCTAACCAATCCCAGGTGAACTTGGGAAGAACCAAAAAAACCCAACCTTTTGATTTAAAACCCAACCTAATGTTTTATTTCTTTAGCTCTGCAGTAGGCATATGCTAATCATAAGAAAAGGGGGCGAGGGGAAAGCTGAGTGGACTAAAATTCTTGGCTGCAGAAGTCATCACAACTGGTAAACTCTTCAAGGGGAAGAGTTAGGCTGTTGCCAGTAACTGACAGGTCTGTCTCTGCCTGCTATACTCAAAGTCCAATGTTAGTATCTATAGATCTTGCTACCTGAAGAAAGGAAATACTCAGATAAGCACAGATACCTTTTTCCTATACTAACCCAACTGTGGTTTTATTTTACCCTCTTCCTCCCCAACTTCCAGACAAAGGGTGGAGTCTAGGATTTGCAGGGAAGCTATTGAGGGCTTCTATTCTGGCTTCAAGGACCAACTCACTAATACTGTAAGTATAGTAGTAAATATAAAAACATTGGTGTAGAGATAGTTGTAAAATTTAGTCAGAATGCTTGTACATCTACTACTTTTTACATAGTCTTTTACTGATGCACCTCAGGGCATTTTAAAATTAATCCACACCTTGTGAGTTATGAATGAATGAAGACATAAAACTTTTAAGCACCATTACTCCAACTTGCTGCACATGGACAGACTACTGCACCTTTGCAAGAACTCCACTGGGGTTCCATCTGGGCACAGCGGTTTGCTCACAGGCAGTAAATTAAAGGATTGGATTAGATTGTCAACTTTTGGGAGACAAGGACCTTCTCTTGTGCAGTTACCAATGAGCAAGGAGTTCTGTAAAGTGGATGCAAGTCGAAAGGTTGGGACTTATAGAGCTGAAAGTCTGCCAAGATACAAGCAGTATGTCTTGTATATCTGCCTCAGAAGCCTTGTATTTATGAAATACCTTTCTTGGTGCCTGTAAGAAGACCATTTTCAGGGCTTTAAAATTAGTTTTTGGTTTTTTTTAAGGGGCCTCTGACGTACAGTGCATGGAGAATAGACTTCCTCAATATAATTTTTCAGACCTACTAACTGACTGTAGAGAATGATTTAAAATATATAATATAGTGAAATTGAGAATGTTGGTCTTTACTTATGACCAATGCCACAATTAATATTAAAATTATAGTTGAACATTCACGTGATTTATTAACATGAACAAGTTTAAACAACAAAACTTCACGCGTTTCTATAACAAGATGGTAAAGAACCTGGAATTTGTAGATAGGAGAGAATGTCAGCCTTGTCTCCTGGTGGTGGAGAGAGTAGCATTTTATAACAGTCCTTGTTCTGGGCTGGGGAAAGGACATGCCAAACAGAATTACCAGTGACTAATTTATTTAAACCAAAGTGTTTCAAAAGTAAGTCTTATAGCAGTGATTTATAGAGAGAAAAAGGATACAAAGGTGGGGAAGAAACTATCAGATAGGGTTTGCTGTCACTACACAATGTTTTCCTTTACCTGTAGATAACAGAAGTCCAGGAACTGAAGGATTTGAAAAGAAAAAATGCTAAGGTAAAATAGAGTAATGATCTCTTTAAATGATGCTATGTTCTGTTTAAACACTATAGAGATAGAAATGTATAGAGCCAATGTTCAACTGCAAAACCAAACTTGGATGTTTGCTTTTAAAATTTATTAGAATACAAATATACCTAGGAAAAGTTTGTGAAACACATTTTATCTGGGAATAACACTGTTTGCAATATACTTCTAAAATCAAACAGAACAAAAATCCAGTTTGAAACTGCTTATTGCCAGACTTGCAAGACTGTTAAACAGTTGTGCTAGTTCAGTAACCAGTGAGCAAACTGTATAAACCAAGAATTACTAGAAGTCGTAAAATATGCTAAATGCCAGATTCTGATCTCTGCTAACAGTCTTTGGTATGGTGTTACTGAAAGATAAATAGTAATGTTTGCCTGTGTGGAAGTGTCTCAATAATTCAACACTTTAAAAATACGTTCAGTAAACAAATTGACACACACTATTCCGTCTTTATTTCAGAGCAATGGTGTCAGAGTATCATTTAAAAGGAAAGTCAAAATGTCTGCTTAAACTCCATTCAGTTTATTTTAATGAGCACCATATGACTGTATTGGGGCTGCCATTGATTTGATACTGATGCATGCTGTGACTACAACTAAATGAAAAAAAAATAAGCAATGAGTACTCTGATTATAGTTAAGGCTGTGAGTTTGTCACGGAGGTCACGACTTCTGCAGCTGCCGGTGCACCTAGCGCAGGGGCAGCTGCTGGGGCAGTCTAAGCCCTGACCCCCCAGGAGCAGCAGAATTTGGATGTGGGAGGGGGCAGGGGCCCCGGATGGGGTGAGATGGACTCTGGGTGGTGCTTACCTGGGGGGGTTTGCAGGAAGCAGACATATCCCTCTTGCTTAGCTGCTACGCAGAGGCATGGCCAGGCAGCTCTGTGCATTGCCTCCACCCAGAGTGCTGGCTTTGCAGCTCCTATTGGCCAGAACCTGTCCAGGAGTTTTTCTAAAAATACCTGTGACTAAAATGTAGCCTTAATTATGGTACTCTGTTTTGCCTTGTGCTTCGTTTATATGAAGGTGTAAGCACTACTGAACTATGAATTGCCACTAATGAATAGTTATTGGGACAGAGGGAGAATGATTTTATAGCTGTGATACTCAGACTGAGACTTGAGCTGCTTTAATGTGTCTCCTGATATTATACACTCTGATTTTAATTATTAACCAATCAGAATGCTTTTACTATTTTATAACCAATTGTAGTTGATAAAATACTACTTGGTCAGTCATTTTGCTGTGAGAATAATATATATTTCCCCTGTCGTACTGTTTAAATAGGAATATATAGTATTATAGTAAATGAAATAATGAATTCACACTACTGTGGCTCTTTTGGGTAATGTTGATCGCTAATTTGACTCCTGAAACACTGAGATCTGAGCATCATTACTTCGTTGCTTGTGGTTTAGGGCACTCATTTAGGAGATGGGAGACTCACATTCCAGTTCCTGTGGCTATTTAATTATTTATACAAAGTGGAACAATTTCAGTAGGAGAGATGGAGAGACCTGTCCTAGAATATCCCATTGGCCAGTGGAATGGGCATTTTTCTTAATGTGGGAGACCTAATTTCAAATATCCCCCATCAGACAGAGGGTGAAATTGATCCTGCGTCTCCCATGTCCCGAGTGAGTGCTCTAACCACTGGGCCAAAGTTTATAAGGGGGGCCTTCCTCTCTTGGCATTTAAGTTCCGAAAAACCTTCTGGGCAGAAACTATTTGATGAATTCACACCAAATTCACAAATAGTTTTGGGTTGATCGAAATGGCACTTGTTGTTGAATAAACTATTTGTCAAAAAACTTTGCCCACGTCTAATTCACAAGCATATTTTTGTCCAGCCCTGAAAACAGCAGATCCGCTTCACCCAGCAATTCTAGTATATTTGAATCATTGTCTTTGCCTTTGTGGTCTCCCATCAAGTGGGGTCAAGGGCTGATGTTCTTTGTCTCCCACCGTTTTTGTAAAGTTCATCTTCCTGACACTGATGGCAACCTTCTGTGTGTCCTCAGTCAGTGTCTCAACCCCCCTTTTTCTAGGTCTTCCTCCTGGTCTTTGAATGTAAATTCAGTATTTCTTGGAGAAGGAGATTTGAGAGGGGAAAACAGGAAGGGATTCCTGGTAAAATTACATTTAATGATTTGATGGATTGACAATCACTATTTTAAAAACATGTTTTTAATCTAAGTCACACATTGTATGCAAGCTCTCTCATTTAAACTTCTGATTTAGAACTTGACTTTATAAAGACAGAACTTTTCTATGAAGTCCTCCAAAACTTAGGCTCCAACGCTACAAGCTGTTCTGTGCAGAGTGCTATCTGTGCAGAGCAACTTGCAGAATTAGGGTGTACTTTTAAGTGTTTGAATTAAAGAATATAGAAAAATCTTAAATGTACAGAGCACCTTTCATTCTGAAGAATTCTAAAGTACTACACAAACAACCTCATGCTATTCTTACATGTAAAAAAAAAAATGTAATCTACTGTGACCTAAAGATTTTGTAGATGAGAATGTGGGGTGCCTGTGTTATGATTGGCTTTGCAACTCCTGAGTTAGAGATCCTCCCGAATAAGTATTAATAAAAAACAAATTTTTACACCAGCGTCTTATGCCAAATGTTACTGAAAAGTTACTTTTGAAATGCTTGATGTTTTTTTTAAATGTTGAGATTTACTTACTGGATGAACAAGGATCCCTTACTACAGTGAGTTCAATAGTACAAGTTATGGAGGGAGAAGGAAAATGCTAACAAATTTTAGAGACCCTTTTGAAAAAATACCTAAAATAGCACTTCCATAGATTACATTGTCATGAATTGTAAGACTTGGTATCTCAAGATTTTCCATGTCTAGAACCCCCAGAGCATTGTCAATTCAGAATGCAGAGTTGGGGGTAGGGAAGATACCTACCTTGTCATTTAACTGTCTTAGTCTTGAAAGACTGCTATTTCACTTAATTATATAATAGGTGATCACAGACATCAATAAAAAAAGAAGGCGTTTGCTGGAAGTTAGAGGAGAACTAATTCGGTAAGTTTCCATTTGCTGAAATGTATAGTGATTATATTGATTGAAAGCATACAATAATAGCTTATCAGTGGAAATTGAGGAGTCCTGTTACTGTCCAGAAAATCTAAGGTAACCCTTGCTTTTGTCGTTAACTGACAGTTTTGTGTAAATAGCAGATGAAACATTTATGGCCTGCATCAGCTGAACATGTGTATTCCTTCCTTTTTGCAAAAGCTAAAATTAACCACTCCATAGGAGTTGTGGAACTGCCTAATAGAAACAGGGAGTCATTTTCACAATCTGTCTCCAGCTACTCTAAATTCTTGGGATAATGTCTGCCAGTTGGGCTACACATTCTGTAAGAAATACACCAGCTGCATGACTGGAGGTGAGAACATGATCAGATAGGTTAAGACTACTTAAAATTAACAAATACTCTGAGCGTGGAACAGTGTGGGGTGTTGTTCCCACCCCCAATATAGCTCACTTCAATCTTGCTGGGTAAACTTCCTGATTCCCTTAATAGAATTCAGCCTTGAACACATGCAATACATTCTGATTTTAACTGCCCCTACAGGGGTGGGATATTTCCTAAGATAGTACATGCAGCATCTGGTATGGTGGAGTCACAGAATGCTTACTGCCATATTCCATTACTATAGGATATCTCTCAAAATAGAGGGGGTATATTGTTGGCTGTATTTTAACCTTAAATGTTATGCGTGAGTCTATTTTAAATTGTACTCCTTGGCAAAAGCCATCTCCTAGAATCCCCTTGATCATAAATGTGATCACTGGATTTCTGTCAGAAGAATTATTGTATTATTGACAAGATTAAAGATCTGGGTCCTTATTAGATAAAAACTCAAACAGTATGCCCACTTTAAAGGGCCATATTCCTATCCAATTAGTTACCCTCATTGAGAAAAATACCAGGCTGTCTGTACTTTACACTTTTATGACCCCATTAAGTCATGTTCAATAGAAACAGTACATTCAAAGTAACTCCTGAAAGAAGAAAATTCACAACACAATCCTTAAGTATTTTTTTTTTTTTTAAGGACTGGACCACAACTGAAGCAACTACAAAGAGAATATGCTGAGCTACAAGAGACAGAATCTTCTATCAGGAATGCAACCCAGTTCCTAACTGATTTAAAGGAGGTGCAGCAACAGTATTTAAATTACAGAGAAGACAACCCACAAGAAAAAGTAGTCGTAAGTACATATTGATTCTATGATGTTGCACTGGCTAATTCAAGTTTTGTCTCTTTAGGAGAAGAAACTAAATGGTGATTCAGGGCAGACAGCAATATCATCATGTTGGTGTCTGTCAAGACCTTGTACAGCATGGCAAAAACTTCAGTGTTATTGTATCCAGGACACACATGTAGCGTACTATTTTTAAAAAGTTCAGTGAGAAACAAAGTAAATTAATTTTCTTATTTAATATAGATATAGGTCAAACCCTGGTGCCCAGGAGCTTCCCTAAATACAAGATGGTAGTGTTTGCTAACTTTCCAACTTCACAGTGAATTTTGTAACCCTCTTTAATGCTCAAACATCTGTTCAGCAGCACAGCACTGACAGTGAGCTTCTCAAATATGTAGTTTAAGTAGCGTAGGAGACTTGTACAGGAATTGTGCTCATGGCCTGGAATACAGTCTCTTCTAGGGCACTGCTGACCTCCCAGTCTAAGGAAGTCATCCACTTTAGGGCATATTATCTGCTTATGCTTAGTATAGCCAAACTTTAACTTGACTTAAACATGCAGAATAGAACATTTGAAGAGAGTGACATCAAATTATAATCCACTCTTTCAAATATGTCAAGTATGAGAGACAAATGGAGTATTTGGACATTGTTTTCAAAGGGTTAATGCCTTGTAATTTTTTCCCTCCAACAGTATGGAACTTCCAGCATTCCTGCTCTTCTGGTGGAATCACAACGAATTTTAAGAGCTGAAAGTCATTTTCAAAATATCAACACAAGATTACAAGAGGTTCTGAATTTGCAGAAAAAGGAGCAGCCAGAGATATTTTAAATACTTTGCCTTCTATTTGCAACTAAGCATAGTTAGCATCAGTTAAGTGTATTCATATACCTAAACAAGAAGCAAGCTAAGTATACATGGTTATGACATTGCTACTCCTCATGTAGATTTTAGTAGTTTGTGTTTGCACTCTAACTTTTGATATATTATTTAAATACTCCCATAAGCATTTAATAAAACAAAGCAATGTGTTTAAATTGCTTCTGATTTCAAATCTTTCACCTCTATAAATAAGTGATGTGAGTCTCTTGTCAGAAAAGTTGATATGTTTCTAAAGATTTACTAACAATTGTGAAGGGAACGTGTGGTTTTTCACTTTGATGTATAATAAGTTTTGTGTGCGGCAGCCTGGAGTAGAGGGTAGTATGACAAACCATTAATGATCTCAATGAATCAGTGATAAATCTAGTGCTTTAAAATTAATAGGATTTTATTATTGGATTACCAGAGTAATCATTTGGAAATACTAATGTGACAAGAGTAGACATTTTCTTTAGTGGACATTACAACTTATATATACTGAAAAACCTGTTGTTGCTCATCCTAAAGTAGCATAAAGATAATTTGTAAGTTGCCTGTTACAAGCCTGAGACATGTCTAAATTGTTCCACCATTATATGCATAATGGATAAAATATTTCTAAAACTAGTATGTGGATTTTTAAAAACAGCTTAGTTATAACAAGTGGTGAGCATAATGAAAGGTAGACAAATCCTCAAAAGTTTTTATCTAAAGTATGGATTTACCTTTTGGCAGGCCCACATATAGGTAAGAAATCCTGCTTGCCCTTTGTAAAGTAACGAAGTACAGTACAGGCTGTAGGCAACATCCTAAACATTTGGACATATGGGAAGAAACATGTTCTAACCACATTCCATCCCTTGGTAAGTGAATTTTACCTGAATCATTGTCCATAAAGCTTTTTGAGTGTGTTGACACTGTCTATTTAGCATTTTTTTTACATTTTGAATTTAGTGCTCCTGAGAAGTACCAGATTGATCGCCTGTGTCTAGCTTTAGAACATGCACAACCCAGGTACTACTAGGGTAAGCTGATCTACCTGGGTCTTCCATGGTGCTTCTTTCCTGTCCAGGAGCAGCTACTTCTAGGGTTGAGAGGATAGTTCAGTTTCTGCAGCTATTCAGTCCTTGGCCTCTGTAAAGAGAGAGGGGGGCTTTTGTGCCATATGCACTGCTGCAGGTGGCAGAACCACCACTGACTAAGCTGGAACTTAAACCAGAAATTAAAGGCTGTATCCTATTAAACCATATAAAATGTCATTAACACACAAACCCAATGTACAAAAACATAGCTAATGGCAAGTTTACTATGCACTTTCTTATAAAGAGAGGATGCTGGCATGGTTCTATTGGTTTCTTTTGGCAGTGTAAACGGAACTTCTGAAACTTTTGGCTTTAGATACATTAAGATATAGTTGAGTTAGCACATTTTATAAACAGCTACCCTTAGTTGATAGCTAGTTGTATGTCTTGTTACCACAAACTTCCTGTTTTCTTAAAACCTCTATGAGAAGCTCATCAGGTATTTCTTCCAGGTCACAGTTCCACGTGGTCAGACTGTTGTCTGCAACTTCTGCAAGTTCAGCATCTTCGATAGCTTCCAGAAAATACACATCATCAGTCACATTTTCCCATTCTGTATTTGAACAGAGCTTGTCGGGAGACTTCTTATTTTCTTGATGTATCCTTAATGATGTGCTTTCTGAGAAGTCTGTGAGGTTAGGTTTTTCTTCTATGTTCCCACTCTCATCCATAAAAAGTACATATTCTTCCTTTAAAAAAACAAATATTACTTATTCAACATGTAAGTGTTCATTACTTCTGGGGGCTAGATCTCCTTGTTGGCTTCATAATGGGAGCAGAGTTAGGCTAAGGCTGAGCACTTCTGAAAATGTCACCTCTAATGAGCAGAGTGTAGGTCAGCTGACCAGGCAAGTTTCTTATGTGTTTTTGGATTGTGGGCATTTACCATACAGCCAGACCCTAATCTTATGAAAGTCAGTTTTCAGTAGGGCCAAAATTTAGTCCTTAAAAGCAGTGCCTTGTAACTGGCAAGCTTTTGAAAATCATGCTGTAAGAGCACTACTGAGTTTGCTCTAGCTGCATCTGTAGGGAGATAACACATTTTATGGATATGTGCTGTTTCAAAAAGAAATGATGATTATTGAAGGGATGCAACCGATCTAAAGAAGTTACATGCCCAATTGTAATATTTTCCAAGCAGAACTAGGGGAGAGACACACACACACACACACAACTTGTATGGCCCTGCGGATGTCACGTGAGCCGTAGCTGTGTGCTGATTGGGCCAAGAACCACTGCTTTAAATAGTGATGATTCACTTACTAAGAATTTTTTCCTAAATAGGTGTAACTTACCAACAATCAGTTCTGCTTCAGATAGGACTTCATAAACTTGCAGTACACCGATCAATAAACCATGAAAAGTTTGGTTGAAAGGTAATACCAGCTACTGAAAAGCTGTTATTTATAAAGCTCAAGGTAGGGGTTGCTTGGTCTTCTCTACAAAGGTTGAATATTTACATTATTGCTTTACTACACTATATGAAAGGATTTTCTAAATGAAGATTAACTTCACTCTTCAAAGTCCATGACTATCATTTAAATTCCGTGTGAATAAATTTAAAAGTGTGAATCAGTTGTTTCAGCATATTAAACCCCTAATGCTATGTATTAACTATGCTACTATCAGTTTGTGTGTTGCAAACACTGGTTGAAGTCTGACTTGTATTTGCCTAAGCATCAGAAAAATAGAAAACGGAATGTATTCTTTGAATCCTCCATGAAGTTTAAAGGTGACACTCATGTATTGATCAGTTAGATGGTGTAGATATAGTCAGAGATTAAAAGATCTTGTGCACAAGGAAGAGATTTGCCTTAGTCTAGGTGAGATATTGGTAACCTTGCCTACGGCCAGTCTATATTAGCACTTCCCTTGGTGGTAGGAGTACTAGGAGGAGAATTCTGAAATATTTAGGGTCCAATTATGCAGTCACTACAGTTGATGGGTCCCATTGCCATCCATTGAACAACTCACAAGTGAGTAAAGATTGGACAATCATTCAGTCCCTTAGTGTAGGCAAGATTTTTAAAGGGCTACCAGAGATGACAGTTTGGAACACACTTGAGTTACCATTAAGTCTTTTCGCAGTTTGTTTTTTTCTTGTGGGGATGGGGAAGAGGGAAAGGAACAAAAAATACATACCTCTTTGAAAAGAAAAGGGAGGCATATCTCAGGGGGTAATGGAATACCTAAATCAAATACAGTGTGTTTATATTTTGTTTAAAGTTATGTTTTCAATAAAATTACACAAAACCATTTCAGAAACATTACTTACTTTCTGATTTGAAGTTTTTAGCTCTGCAGACAGGGTCATAACATTTTTGATAGTAAACTTCTTTTTTTAGATCTACCAGGATCCTTAAAATACAGATGCAAGTGTTGGCTAGCACTTAAACAGCATTAGCTACATTATACACATCAGGCCAGGATTTCATGCCCTTCCTCTGTTTCTAAAATAGTCTTTGTACATGCACTCTGGCCCATTTACAACTGAAATTACATATAATATGCAATGTTAAAAAAATGGAAATTACATTAAGAGTGTGCATCTTAAATGTACAGGTTTTTGGTATGTTTTAAAGCCACGGTGTTGAAAGTGAGGTACAATTATCTTCAGCCTACATTAAGTCTGAACAAAGATGGAAAATAAGACTCTTAAAAGACGTTGATTTGTATAAGATAGTTATAAAATATGAGTTAAAACCCTCACTTTTGCAGTGAGTTTAACTAAAGCACTTGTACAAACTCTGGTACTTAACAGAATTGCATAACCTGGATTTGCAGTATGGGACAAATCTTACCACATAATTTGGTAATACTATACCATTTTAGTTGTGGTTGAATAGAATATTGTACATCTCTTGCTGTTAAAAACAATCTAATATTCATTCTTTTGAAAAACATTTAGAAATAGGATACAATTGGAAAGAGTCCTTTAAAAAAAAAAAAGCAGCATGCATTTGGTTCTTCTCACACTCAAGAGGAGACTGGCTGTTAATTTCTCTTCAGGGTAAAATTGACAATCAGATGACAAGTTACATTTAGAATTTGTAACCTAAAAAATTAAATTAGTCTCTCTCATCAATATTCAGTTTAATAAGTAAGATTAACTAAACATTTTGAGTGAAATTCTGACCCCACTGAGGTCAATACCTCCCATTATCCTCTGCCATTGGAATTAACTCCATAAATAGGTATAAACATATGTTCAGCTAAAGAGTAAACTCAAAAAATTCCTTCCATTTCCAGTGAATAGCAGAATAGGGTTGGGATCTTGTTGTATTAGGTGCTGTAAAAACACTCTCCCTTCCATGAACAGTTTTCTGTTAAAGCATTCCTGGATATTCTAGTTGCATAATGAAAAATTCCTTATTAAAAGGTTAATTTGAAGCCTTTCAAAGTAAAAGTACCTATTAAATAAAACATACTTAAAGAACATACATTATGTTATTACTTTTGTGGGCTCTTCCAATATTTTTACACCAGCGATATCTGGATATGTCATAAACAAGGAGTTCTTCCAAGGAAAAATAATTCCATCGTCGTATCCCTGGAAAATTAAGTACCCTTTTTAAAAATAATTTATAACATCTTGAGAATATATGTCTGACTCTCTTTAAAAAATAAAAAAGTTATGGTCCTTACCTCCATGAGCATCATCTTTATTAACTAAAGAAAGGACAAAACAATCAATTTCTGGATAAGGTGAATATTGATATCCTTCTATGGGATCTGTTTAAAAACAAAAGTTACTGTTACAGATTATACAAACTCAGAAAAAAAATAAGTGTACTTGAATCTCACTAACCATTAAGGACCTACTCCTAGTCCCATTACCATCAGTAAAGCAGGACTGGGCTCAGTGTCTAAGTGGTATACATCTTGGAAAGCATTTTTCATTATAGAAGAAGTTGCCCTTGCTCAGGAAGTCTGGAGCCAGATCCCTACTTTTGGGAAAGGCAGGTTACAATTAACAATTAGCACATGCTCCTGGAGATTGGTCAATGCTTAGTATTCCTGGGGACAAGAAAACTTTACACTGTGGACTAGATTCTGACTTATATTGAATACTAGTTTCCACTACAAAGAGCCCTATTGATTTCAATGGGGCTTTTGTGGAGTAAGGTATTATGCAGGATCAATTAGGTTGGCACACTCTGATCCTTTATTAATTTCAAGCTTTACTCTACATCCTGAATATAAAACACCCAAGTTGCTGCTCATGTAACTTACTCTGGAAAGGTCTATAGAACAGGGAAAGAGAGACACTCCTGCATGCTCCCAATTTACTAGTGCATGAGTAACTAGTTAGGCAGTCTCTCTGGGAAATGAAGGGCATACCCTCTGCAGGACTCAGCTAAAGGATATTGCCTAAATAAGCTGCAGCAGAAAGTTTCCACTGATGTATAAGAACAACAGCCCAACGAGGATGCAGTTTATCAGATGTACAATTTGAGATATATTCCATAATTAGATCAGGTACACTGTAATACATATAGCAAATTAATGATGCAAACACTTAAGATAAATTTTTCTATTCAGTAAAATCACATATTCAAAAGATTGTTATGAAGTACCTGAAGTGCTATTGAAAACTCTCCTGTTTGTTTGTTTAAACATTTTTTTCTTCCCTTCTGGGATGTCACAAGTTAGGGCTCTTTCAATTTCTGAGAACCTGATGGAGAGAGACAGTGGGAGAAGTCAGTCATAACTCAGATTTCTGGACATACCATACTTCCTTTTCCGATTCTTATGGCCCCTTTATTTCTTGTTCAGACATAAAGGATTCGTTTTAACTTAGTTTCCTCTGACATATTCCAGCAGAGGGTAGAGTTTCCTTCTTCCACAGCAGAGACAGAAAGATCTACCCTCACCCAACCCAGGATCCTCTGCACTACTTCTAGCCCTATTTGCTATATATGTAGTCCTTGAAAAGTATTGTTTACTTTTGGATGGCTTTTAGTAGTCTTGCACTTTACCCTTTTAGACTAATAATTTGCAAAGAACTATGTTTTTTCTTTGCTGTGTTTCTGGCATGAAAACAAACCATCATATGGGGCAAATTCTACAACAGATGATTTCTTGTCCTTACTCAGGAATGACTCCACTGAAGTCTGGTTTGTTTGTTTTTTTTAATTATACTATAGGATATAGGCCTCAATTGTGCAAGGTATTTAGGCACATGCTTAGAATCTCTGGACTAGATGACCTCTCGAGGTCCCTTCCAGTTCTGTCCCCTGCACTCAAGGCAGGACTAAGTATTATCCATTCTAGACCATCCCTGACAGGTGCTTAATTGAGGCCCATGACAACCAAAGATTTACAGGAATGTTGAATGTAATATGCATCTTTAAAAAGATATTTACAATCAAAACTCCATAATAAATGCAGCTCAACTGTGGCTCAATCCTGTGAGGTGCTGAGTACTGAAGTCATTAGCAATTTTGGTTGCCTCTCATCTCCCAAAAAAACACTCAGTACATTTCAGGATTAGGTCCTTAGATTGCAGCCTCTTTTGATAATAAATTGTGTTGCATATATTTGTGCAGCACTAAGGAAAACTGCTGTTGCTCACTAAAGTTTACACACAAAATAATGCTTTTCACTTTCTTCTGTGTCTAGACTGGAGTTATTCTCTCTTAAATGGTTCAGTGAGGGCAGTTTTGGATTTTGGTCCATTTCAGAGTCCTATCTAATTTACAATGATAGAAATGTAGCACTTCTCAGCTGAATAACCTTGAACAAGTCAAATTCTTCATCTCAAACAAAAATTAAAAACAAACAAACAAACCCCAAAACACAACCTCCCTCCCCATACACACACACAGAGTGCAGTTCAGAAACCATCACAAATGGCACAAGTTCTCTGAATTTATTGCATATTTGAAGGTAGGTGCAGCAGATTGGATTTCTGACAAACCTTTGCTTCAAGGAATAACCATCAGAAAAATTTACCTGCTGAAACCAATGGCTGAACTTTCCTAGAATAGAATGCATCAGTCTCAGTGGAATGTCAGCCCCCGCAACAGAAGTGGTTGCTGCTACAGCAATTATAAATATTACTGAAGTCTACATTTTAAAGTACTTTACATAGCACTGTAATTAAATTGTTACCTAACATTGCAAACCAAAGAGGAAAGGAAATATTGCTCCTCAACAGAAATATTCTTTTTGGGTTTAGGAACAAACTTGTTATCTTCAGCTATTTTCAAAGTCGTCTGCTTTCCTGCTTTTGATGACTTATACAGCCGGAAATTTCTATTCTTTGTATAAACTCCTGCAGGGAGAGAGAGAGGTTTCATAATGTATTTACAGTTGGCTAGGTTCTCTCATATGTATTGTTTATACACTATATTTGGGTGTCTGAGAAAAAAGCATTTAAAGGAGTAAACACAAACTTATATTTATCCCAGTTCATTTCTCACAGTAGGAGTTATATAGCAGGGTAAGAATGAATCAAACAGCCATATATTTATCCATAATATTCAACTATAAGGACAATCACTCAAAACTGCTGTACAGACATTTTAAGTAAATACTAATTATTTGGTACTATTTCAAAATCTCTGCAAATCATTCTCCAGTCTAATTGTTCTTTTTCCTAGCATGAAAAATCATGTAACTATTTTACATTGTAAACATGGTTTGGCAATTTATCAGTTTCCTATTCTCTGTGTGTCAGTGTGACTATATCATAGTTGCACTTCAACAACAAGAGTGGTAGTCAGAAAAATGCAGTTCACATCGCAATCTCAAAACAAATATGGGTGGGCAAGTATGAGCAATTCTGCTCGAGACTTTGCGTGTATGTGTGGGGGGGTGGGGAATTGTTTAATTCTGAAGCTGAATTTAGTTCTCATGAAAGTTTAAGGACTATGAGCATTGGCATGACTGATATATTGCATCCGAATTTTGTCTTGCAATATCCTGCTCCAATTTGTTCTTGGTCTCCGTCTACCAATCATTTTGTAATTTAGGGTGGTAAGCCCCCCATGTTCTAGCTCACTGTGAACTAAAACCAAAAACGGAAGTAACAAACCCACATATTATCAGCTTAGTGTGCCGCATAACTGCGCCCTCCCACCTTATTTTTTATTCACTAGTCTCTGCAGGAGTTACTGTTATTAGTTACAGTCACAGTTCTTCTGTTGCAGAGCACTTTGTTACTCTCTTTTTAGGGAACCAACATAACAGTGCAAGCTAAGTCTTGGAAGTTAGGTACCTGCTATTCAAGGAAGAACACTGCTGAGAGTAGTTACAAAATAACTTTTCTGTGGCAAATACAAAAATAGATGTGTCCAGAACACTGTATTATTGTGTCACTGTACTCAGCTGAGCCACCTACTAATATGTAAAAATACCCCAAGATTGTTACCAATAAGCCAGTCTTCCAAAACTTCATAGTGAAAGATAACATAGTAAAGCAATTCAGAAGCCAAAATGAAAACTGCGGTAAAAGAAGTCATTGTAGACCTGTCCGTGCTTTCCAATTATTTTGGATTTGTATTTTTTAAGAGAAAAAATTCTGCTCAGTATACAGGAATTACACACAGATCTTCACTTTTTGGGGGTAGGGCAATTAACAAGCTACATATATGCAACTGACTGTGAATATATTTGAACAAGGCATTTCTTGTTGATCATTATTTGATTTTATTCACATGAATTTTCTAGACCATTCAAAATGCAGCACCTTGTTTGCTTCCTAAAATTACCTGGATTATGGATTCTGCAGTTTCTATTCAATAGGTTCAAATGGATTAGGCCTTAACTTTAAATTATCTCTAGAAGATGTTCGGAATCATACATTCCTTATACTTATACACACCATTAAAAAGGAGTACCCATCCCTTGCTTTAGGTAGTCTGTGACAAATCTTAAATACACAACTATCAAACAGACTGCCTCTCTAGTCCCCATCTTTGTGATCAAGCCACTTGCCATTTAACTGAACCAATGACCCCATGCAACTATTGTCCCCCTTATCATCAAGGGGTGATAGATCCTAAAGATAAACTGAAGTCTCCAAGGGACAGAGTTTTTATTTACTGTGGAACAACATTATGGAACCTCAGCTAATATTAAAAGTTCCACAAGCATGTCAATATTTAAGGCCAAATTTAAAATACAACTTTTAAGATAATTTGTTTGATTTTTATTGAATTGCATCCTGCATTTTGTTGTATGTTCAGTACTTAATTATATTACTGTACATTAAGCAAAACACTGTGCAAACAGTGCTGGGACCAAAGCATAAATCATCTCTGGTTTGCACCTTTGTTGCATTCCAGTACACAACCTTAACAGGAATAAATTACACATAATATGGAGCTGAATTCTTACTTAATTTGTGCATGCAAATGCCTCCTTCCCGCAGGCTGCATTTTCTGTGCATGCATCTAATGGCAGAATTTGGCTCAGAATTCTGTCAGTAACTAATTTTTATATTTACCCAGATCGACGACAAGTTGCTTGCCTCCCTCCTTATCATTCACAACAAGAAAGGAAAGATCAGGATTTTCGTTCTGTTGCCATGCTCCATTTTCCAGCGTTTTGTGCATATTAGATTGCCATTTCCCAGGAGGCTCCTTCACTGCACTGAGGTTTACAACAGTACCATCTATTTCAGCTGTTGCTTTGGAAGACTGGGAAACAACACTGTCCACCCCTTCTTCTAGAATCAGAGCATCAGCTTTATTTTCAGTTAAAACAAGAGCAGGTTGCAAAACTGTTTTCACAAAATTACCTTAAAATAATAAGAAAAGAAACGGATCAGGGTCTGTTTAGTCACAAGTTAAAAATGTATTTAATGTGTTTTGTGCAAAGACTTTCAAATAAAAAACCAGGATAGAGTTTCTCTCTCTTCTAAGTCTGGTGCACAACCAATGGTTTAAACTGCTAAATGGGAGGCCCAAGTTTTGGCATGAACTTTAGTTGAAACTGAAGTTTGTGCTGCTGTTTTTTAAGACACCTCACCATGTTAAAACAGGTATGTAAGAACTGTCCATATTTTGGTTGTATCATTCTCTCACACCCTTCACCATCTTAATGGCTGTGAGCTCCTCAGGGAAGGAGCCATGTGTTTCTATATATTTGTACAGAACCAAACAAGTGGGCCCTGGTCCTAGAAACAAAATAATAATAAAAACTGAAATGTTGTGAATAGCAAATGTGTAGTAATGTCACCACAGCTTCTCTAACCAAAGTTTCACATTGAGGAAAAAATCCTGGATGCCTGTTCAAAGTCCTAGTAAACCAGCCTTGTGCAGGGTTTCAAAGGAGGACCATACTCTTCTCTACCAACCTGACAGCAGGGCACAGGACACCCATGCTATTGCCCGAAGACACTTACTACTGGTGATAAGAGTCACGGTCTGGTACTTCATCCATGATCAGAGCACACAGGGTGCTGGTTTTGGTAACGAATGACTTTGCCAATGATCAGCATGAGCCAGAATTTTGGATTTGACATTGACTATGGACTTGGATCTCCCATTAGACTGCCAGATTCCCAGTGAGCAAAAGAGATGCTCCATTCTCTTAGCCAATTGGAGCCTCATTCTGTGAGCACTTATACACACCACTTACAGTAATGTGAATGGGACTACTCACATGCATAAGTGCAGGACTGGACAACAGGTCAGTACTGTGGCATATGAGGGAGCATCAGCCACTACAGCTTGCAGCTTGAACAACAGGTTTTTTATTCGCATGAATGAGTGCAAGTCCACTGAAATCAATGGAGCTGAACTTGCTTAAACCGGCTGTGAATTTAATCCCTTTGTTTTAAAGCCTTCTTAGAGGTTGGTAGAAGAGTAACACACTTAATATTTTAGGATATTACTTATTTTGCAGAATGTTTGACGGAAAAATTCTAATAAAATACTCAGTTTTATTAGGATAAGACTGCAGTTTCATTTTCTAGATTGTCCCAGAGAACACACAGGTTGTGGTGATTTATAATGGAAACATCATAGATTAAATAATCTATTATTCATTAACTGGTATTCCACAATAAAGACTTGATTTAAAAAAGAGAAAGAGAAAATTGCTTATAGCTTTAATATCATTGGACAGTTTATTTAAACTGTTGACCTTCCTCTCTCTTCATATACAAAAAATCCTGATTGATATTTAGATGCTTGGATATCACTGTATCAAGCAAACTGAATTTATAGACATTTTCTATGTAAAAATCAGTAGATAATTAGGCCCAACATTTAAAAATTGAATTACTCAAACTATAAAGCTGCTAATCTTCAAGAGACAATCAACCATTTTTGACATGTAGATGATTAAGAGATTAACTAAATCTGAGTTTCATATTTAATGTGTGTTAAAGAGTAACATTGTTTACTAAACTGACACTTTGTATCGCAAGCAAATTTAGTTTCCTATTACTGCTAGGAAGGCAAAATAACAATAAATAAACCATTTACTGCTTACTCTGCCTACTGTCCCTATAAATCTATTATAGCCATGACTGATTTTAAACACAAACATTTAATGTCCAGCCGCGTTAATAATTTAGTTCACAATGGTGATAGGAAAAGCCTAACCAATGGGCTGGAAGTAATAGCTCAAGTGCTCTTATTGAAAGGGAACAGCTGATGTAATAAACTGAAAGAGTATGGGTTTATTCTACACTTAGCTATCTAGATCACAAGGCTAAAATTAGTTTTAAATAAAATACTTTTGATCCACACATTCTTTAATAACTTTATAAGAAAGAGGTTACAGAATCAAACTTTTAGACTGATGAAGAGTTTAATGATCACATTTAATCATTTTGTTTTTGTGGCTGCAGTAGAAGAGTCATGGGGGGGAGAGGTGGGGGAGAACAGGGAGAAGAAATGGTTTTATTTGTTTCTATTAGTCAATGAAAATAATGAGCAATATACTGCTTATGCTATATACCGGGCGAGGCTAGTAGCACTGCCTAACATTAAGGTTGCCCAACACTTCCCATTGTAGGAATCTGTTTGCAGTTGCTTATAACTTTGCCAGCCTTTTATCTGTTTGGTTTGAAATTTTCCATATGAGGTGTCTCCCTCAAGCTGGTTTCTTGGTTTTTCTTTTTTCTTTCTTTCTTTTTTGGGGCGGGGGAAAAGGTTTCAGCCAAAATGATTTAACTGCTTATGAAACTGAGGTTAGAGGAAAATACGTTGTTTTGCAATATTAAAAATACTTCTGTTGTCCTTTTCTTTGAGAAGCTACAGCAACCCCATGTTTGGGCCAGGGACTTGAAATTTGGCAGGGTGTGACCTTTGGGCCAGGGGTGGTATGTACCTTTTGCTGTTACTGTGAAAATTTGGCCAAGTTATCAACCTCTGAAAAAAATCTCAGTTCACACATGCTCAGTACACACTTCTTACAGTTTTATTGCTAAATTTGCCAAAGATTCTGCCTTCACTGAGCATGCTCCATCCCCTCACAGCTCCCAGTGCTGACCAGACTGTATGTACTATCCTAACAGAGTGACAGCACATGCTCCAGCCCAGGGCTGCAGGAGCAAAGTCGGACTTTCTCTGTAACTGTTGCTCTAGGCTGGGGTGGGGCCAGGCACTTGACCCTGAGAGCAAGGAGCCTGTCTCTCTTGTGCTCTCAAATCACTCCCAGGCAACTTTTCTTACTCTTACTAAATGAAGGATTTTATTGTAATCCCACTGGTGTCAATAGCAAAACTCCCAGTGAGTTCAATGGGAGCAAGATAAGGACCAACAGGGGCATTTAGGGCCAGATTCTTGGTTCCAGTCTGGCTTCTTTGTATCATTCCAGGGCACTTACCAGCCAGAAAGCTGCCCTGAAGGACAGCTGAATGTTCCCTTTGCATAGCAAACTCTCTGTCTAGCCCAGAGCTAGGTATGGAGGGACTACACTACTTCCTCCAAGCCCCACAAGAGTAAGTAGCATGAGAGTATGAGGCTGGAATCCACTGTGCTTTGGCAATCCTGGGTTGGCAAAATGGTCCATGAGGGGCTGTTGTAGCCTAGAAGACATTCCAACTTATGTCAAGAACCAAAGAGCTTCCCACTGTTCCCTAGATCAGGCTAATGCAAAGGCAGCTTTAAGCTATGCCTTTGCCCTTTCACTAAGGTCTTGGGCTAGCATAGCTCAGCTGGACTCAAGAATCTGGCCAATAAAGTTTAACTTCAGCCAATTAAAAAAAAACAAAACATACACCTTAATCTACAAAATAAGTAAGCAACTGTAAAACTATCATCAAGCCTTTTACCAGCTTTTGTGATGTCTTTGTTCTGTAAATACAGTATAGACACACACACACAGAGTAGCTGTTTCCTTGAAGTAGAAGGCTGATGAGAAATTGCACTACTAGTCACAGAAAACAAAAGAAAATACATGAGCAGGAAATCAGTTGAAGCACAATAAAACAAATATGTAACTGGAAATACATATTTGTTTCCACCTATGGTCCCCATTACCATAATATCTGAGTGCTTGATTGTACTAGTAAGATATTAAAATTCCACACATTTCCTTTTTATGTACTAGAAATAAGAAAATATGCTTACCAACATTAATATTATCCTTAAATGCTGTCTTGTGAAGCAGAAATATTAAGTGATGGCTAAATTTTTCATCAGTGCTGGAATCTAAGTTCAAGACATCTTCAGCTGAACATTTAACTCCATAAAGTTCTTCCAGCTTTTTACTAAAAAGCTGAAAAATAAAAAAAAGTAGGCTATTTTTTGTTTTTTTAATAACTAAAAGGTACCCATAGATTGTGATAGGAGGGCAGATTTTATGTCTTCATTCATTTCAAAGATATTTTTGGTTTTGAACATACTGTTTTTTTAGACTATGAAGTTTCATGATTTATTAAAGTCTCACCAAAATACAAACACATATTTTACCTTATAAATTGAATACGTGTATGATTATGGTACCAGTAGCAGACTGTTGCAAATTTCCAGTTTCTCACCCAAAAGCCTAATATACCACCTCATCTATACATTTTTCTGTTACACTGCTTCCCAAGTACAGTTTACAGCTCCAGTGACAACCAGCGTTGAAGACTCTACAATCCACACCTACGACAACTTAGGGCTAGTCTACGCTGGCAACGCTAAAGCGCTGCAACGTCAGCACTTTAACGTGCCTTGTGTGGTCATGGCGCAGCGCTGGGAAAGAGCTCTCCCAGCACTCTCAAAAACCCACCTCCCCGAGGGGCGTAGCTATCAGGGCTGGGAGCGCGGCTCCCAGAGCTGGGGCCCTGTTTACACTGGCGCTTTACAGTGCTGCAACTTGCTGCGCTCAGGGGGGTGTTTTTTCACACCCCTGAGCGAGAAAGTTACAGCTCTGTTAATTGCCAGTGTAGACAAGCCCTTAGTCACATTATATCTAGGGCCAGAGTTATGACCTTAGATCCAACGAGTCCAAAAGCTTCAGATCTTAGTATCTCAGATCCCTCCTTTTGGATCCAACAATCTTCTTTGATTTTGAGGATCCCTTAGATGACTCTCATGCTCCCAAAAGAGGTGGATCCCCTAAGGACTGCTCCAAGAGAAAAGCCCTCATTCAGTCTGTGGCTTCTTTCCTTCGCAGCGAGAGGCATGCACAAGGCTCTTAGGATGAATGTTCTTAAACCTTCGTACTTATCTGAGACAGGATATTTTACTAGAGAAGGAGATGTATTTCTGAAAGCTCGTTTTATTCTCTTTGTCCACCACATTGGAGATATGGTGGGCCGGGACATTAAGCCCAACCAAACCCATATGAAAACAACATTTGTGCTAATTAGTAAAACCAGTAACTAATAAGGAGTGACTCTATATAAGAATCAGAAAAGGCCTAAGCTTAATAAAAACCACACTGGGGAAAAAAGGGACTTGAAACAACCGGGAAAAGAAGAACTGAGGGAAAAATAGAGGGTGAAGTCTTTTGTTAGAGCTCAGGGGCATGCCTATATGCTCCCTAACAATTTTACTGCTTTCTTTGGTTCTGTGGCTCTTGTATCGGGGCACATAATCCACCAGTAAGACTCTACAGAGGCAATATAATGAAAGATAAATTACAAAATGTCCCAGGCCTCTGGTGAACATGCTGTCATACCAACCACTATTTGTCTCTTGTTCCTCTAAAGCAGGAAAACCAGAAAAACTTTGCTTTAACTAGCAATATCTAAACACGCTTTTTTAATTTTCTCTAAAAACGTGTAATCAATTTTCATTTTTTGTGATAACTTTAGCTATAGAATAACTATAAGGAAAATCTGTTCACTTTATTCTCTTTGATCCACATTAAGGCCAATAACAAGACAGACAGACCTACAATATGTTATATTCTAATTATTGTTCGTTTTACCTCAATTAACTTTGCAATCATCTGCTTGCCATCAGCTCCAGGATTCACTGGTTTATAGAACTCCAAATCAAAATACAGTTTGCAAACAGCTTTTTCAGGAATAACTTCATAGCAATGCATGAGACTTGTTTTTTGTTCTTTGCTAAACAGAAAGTAGTCAAGAATCATCACCCATGTTTATGAACAATAATTTTAAAAAATAAAGATTTTTATTCCTCTTTAGTGAAACACTTGTTGAAATGTTTTAAAGACTAGCTCTACTATGTTCTGAACAACTTAAAGTATGAATTTTGTGACTAACTAAAGAAACACCATAAATATACATGTGGCCTAAAATTTAGATTTTGTAAAAAAATAAATTCTTACAAACACCTAAGACCAACAAATATGTTTTCACGAATAAAAATAACTAATGGAAACAGTCATTTTAAACAATAAATCCACTAGTGCTGAGAACCTTAAAGTAAAACTACACACAAAAGTGGAACCAACTTCTTTGAATTTTGACATCCAAACTGAGAGAAGTGCAAAATATAAAGAGCTTAAATACAAAAATTGGATTTTTAGAATTCTGTCACTTAATAATCAGATGCACTATGGCTAAAACATTTTAGAATTTTTTTTTAAGTTGACTGTAGACCTTTACTAGACATTTCAGTATCAGAACTCGACCATGTGATATGTTTCTGTTAAATGACTGTTAAGAATTATATATAAAATGGTTCATGAAGATGTAATTATTTTATCTGCTGATGCACCAGAATGATGATGATTGTTCACTATGGATACCAATTCTCTTCAGTGGTCAAGCACTGTAGCACATTTGAGGGGATCAATGTCAGGGAGCCAGTTATGGTACCCTGCTTTCTGAGAGCTGGTCTATACCAGCCCCAGCCCTGACGAAGTTTAAAGCAGCTAAGAGGTACTTTTTTCAAAATACTCACTTGTAATAAAACCAAAGCTCTGTATATGTTGTCACAAGATAATACCTTTGTCCATCTTCTGCGTTCGTTTCCAAAGCAAATACATGAACATCCTTTTTAAATTAAAAGAAAGAGTTAACTGTTCCTTTTTCACATCACTAGTCAAAATCTTTTGCTTGAAATTAATTTCTCAGATCAAAGGTTAGTAATTATTTTCTAATTAGTAACAACCTATCCAAGGATGGTTTAGGTTTTTTAAAAAAAAAGCCTAAGTACCTTTTATTGCTAATTAAGAGCCAGCTTCTTATTTAAATTACACCAGCGTAACTCTTAGCAGCTCACTGAAGTCAATAAAGCTACTATGGATTTGCATTGATGTAACTGAGATCTGAATTAAACCCTCAAGTGGTATTTGCCTAGTAAAATCTTATTTTGATCAGCAGCATGGTAACATCAATGGGAAGAGAAACAGTGTACAGAGAAGGGGATTCCCACTGAAGAGAGAAGCAACATATGGCCTAAATCAAGCAAAATGATGTCCAAACCATCCTTTTAATTATATACTATATGTAAAACAAGAGGTGACCCAACAGAGAAAAATGCTCCCAAACTGGAACATAATTAGGAAACAGCTTTGGCAGTCATAACTTCTTTAATGAAATTCATGACATTTGAAGAGTTGGTAACACCTGTCTCAAAATATTTTACTTTGCACGCTGTCATATGCACTGTTCCCCTGTATAGTGAGTCAGATCCTGATCCTGCAGTGAGCTCTGCACAGGCAGACCCCTGCACCAAGCTCCATTTAAGTCAGTGGGGCTTCTCAGAGAATCAGTCTGCATGGAAGTAACCACAGGATAGGGTCGTTAGTCAGTTCTCCCTGCTGTCTGTGTGGGTTTGATATGCGGTAAGAGTGGAGAGGAAAAATGTCTTAAAATAAGAAAATATGATTGTAAAGGCAACAAAAACTGGGGGATTGAGGAAGAGATGTAATGCCAGAAACTACTTGTGGCAAACTTGCCATGCCAATTGTGACATTGCAGAAGCTGTGCCTCAGTTTCCTCTCCCCTACACATACACACTGTCCTGTGGCCTCCTCTAACCATCAGAGTGTTTTGGCCCTGCAGTCAGGTCAATTTAATGTTCAGCTCTTTGTAGGGTCAGCAAGTCCTTTACCAAAGAACAACAACAAAATGTATTGAAAGCAAACCTTCAGCCCGGCTGGGCTCAGCAGAGGTACAACTGTGCTGAGGACTGCTGCTCCTTCTCCGCCGTTCGCTCAATCCCCCAGTCCTAGGCTGGAACACTTCTCCCTAACTAATGGTTTCTGGCAGGCTCCAGCTCACCAGGAACCCCATCTCAGCCAGGCTTTCAGCTTGCCTCTGGAGAACCCTGTCTGGTCCTCCCCTACCCCATCCACCTTCTTTTCAGCTGCTTCCCAGGGAGAGGGCACTTCCCACCTGGTCTCTCTTGGCACTTTATGGATATAAACCCTGCTCTCCTCCAACTGGACTTTATTTTTAGGTTGTGTCTACACTGCCACTTTCAGCGCTAAAACTTTTGTTGTTCAGGGGTGTGAAAAAACACCCCCCTGAGCGACAAAAGTTTTAAGCACTGAAAAGCGCCAGTATAGACAGCGCTTTAAAGCTACCACCGCTCGTTCGGGGTGGGGTTGGTTTTTTTTAATTGCTGGGAGAGCTCTTTTTTGGCTATAAAGCGTGTCCACACTGCCCATGTCACAGCGCTGCCGCGGCCGTGCTGTAACTGGGTAGTGTAGACATACCCTTAGTTAGTCCTGAACCATGCCCCTGGTGCACCCCATCACATTGCCTCCCCCTCAAGACTACATCCTGCCTGGTGCTAGAAGGACTGCCAACTGGCTGTCAAATGAGCTCTTCTCGATGACCTGTGCCTGCTGAGAGGTGGGGTGGCAGAGTGAGGGCAGCCTTCCTCAACTGCTTCAGTTACTGAGCATGCTCAGTATAAGCCAAGCATCAAATCTCAGCAAGGGAGGGAGGGACATGACCTTGCACGCCCCCCCACATGTAGTCTCTGCTAATCATCTTCCAGGAGCTCTATCTGGAATTCCCACTCCCTTTTCGCCTTCTCTAGATTTGCCTTTTCCTCTTCCACGGTCTGCTCTGCTGCCATCAGCTTTTCCTGAAGCCTTGCTGTATCAGTCACCACTTCCTCCATTTCTGTTCCCTTCAATATACCTGTTGCCAGGGCCTCTGGCCTTTTCAGCTGACTTCTCACCCTACCCCCGGTCAGCTGGTTGGCATCTGAACTTCCTCAGTCTGCTGCCACACCGCTATCTTCAAAACCCCTTTGGTTCTACCAGGGGGTTGGTTTGTGTCCCCAGAGTACATTGTTCCGGCACAACTTTAGGCCCTTTATTTGTGTAATTCCTTGCCACCAGACATGTAGCTAGCTTCGGCCTGAACTCTTGGCTCTGTTGCTTTTGTGCTCCAATTCTGCCTTGGTCCAGACCAAGTCCTGCTCTAACTTTGCCGCCTTCATTATAATTCAATGCTGGGAGGCATTTACTTCTGCCAAGTCCTGTTTATCTTCCTGTAATTGTTTCTCTAGACTATGAGGATGTCTCAGAATTTCCTCTCTAGTTCTCTCAGCAGTCTCCAGGCAATCATCAGTGTGCTCAGAAGAGCTGAGCACCCCTGATCATTGGTCTGGGTAAGTGTCTCCTTAACTGGCTTGGGTTTTGCCACATCAAGGCCAGGAAACCTGGTCAGTGTCTGGTCAGTTCCTCATCACTCCGACTCTCACTTGGCCACCCTGACCCTGTACCTCCAATTCCACTACCATCACTGGGTATATTCGGGTCTCTCTGTGTATACAAGATATGTATCTGCCAGTCCATCTTACCAGATATAAGTCCACTTCTGCAATAAAAGTCTGCCTGCAGCCTGAGACAACCAGACCTTTCGTCACTTGTTTCTGCAGCTTGACAGACACCACATATGGTAGGGTTCAACCCTGCCTTGAAGAGCCTCCCAAACCACAAACCAGGTTATAATGCCCCACTCCAACATGGGACACTTTTCTCACATGCCCTGGTCAGCCACATCTGAAACATATGACCAGGTTTCCGCAGCTACCTCCTGGAGTGCTTCCACTGGGCTAGGGAAGTGACTGTGGAGTTGATACCTCATTTTGGCCCTGAAACTTAGAACCACCCAGGACTCTTCCTCCCCATGTTTCCCCCCAACTCTTTGGAGTCTGGGGTTTTACCTCTTCCAGCCTTCCTCAGGATGATGATCTTTGCTTTGGCCCACTACTCAGCTTGCTTGGTATCATTCACCTCTGTTCTTTCCACTGCAGTACCAGTGTAAACTGGCCAAAACTGCCAGACCTAACTTTGGGCCCCTGCTTGCAGAATCTGCAGCAATTATTCTAAGACAATGTGATTAATAATTCTCTCTACAGAACTAACTTCTGGACAGTCAGTGCCATGCCGGGTCTTGGAGCTGCTGAGCAATCACCCTAGGCCATGCTTCTTGAGGAAATGGTTCCATTCTAATGCAGTGACGATACGCTTCAGGTATCATTCAGCTTCTCCACAGGATATGATTTTGACTGCTCTTTGGCGGGGGCCCTGTATGCTACATGAGCTTCCCTGAACTGAAACAGGGCCATCTGGGCCACGCAGGATGATTCTGCCTATCCTGATGTCCTAGCCACCTATTCAAAAGTACACAAAAAAGCTTCTGGGTCGTTGTCTGACCCCAGCTTTGCCAATCCTAGGACTGGATTGCTGGGGTCTTCTCACCTAGAAGCCGATCAACTGCTGAGGTCCATTTTTCCAGGCACTGCAGGAAGCACTTCTACTGCAGCTGCCGGATGTCCTTGCAGGAGGACAACCTGAGTATGATCCTGCTGCGCTGCTAATAGGCTGACTACTTCCTCCATTTTGTAGCTTCTCTTTTATTCCTCCTTTTTCAGAGGGGTACTCTGCAGATCCTAAACAAGCCCCTACATGTGGCAACCTTGCCAAACCTAACATGCCCCCTTGTGGCCAGACATAGAATTGTGGCCTTCTGGCCAGACCACTTTACCACTTTACTTTATCAAAAGTCCAACAAGTAAATGTATTCAAAGAAAATCTTCAGCCCAGCTGGGCTCAGCAGGCAGCCGTGCCTCTGTTGTTGCTGCTCCTCCTCCTCCTCCTCCTCTTTCCTGGTTCAATCAATCCTCCAATCTAGGGGCTGCACATTCCTCCCCTTATTCAGGGTTTCTAGTGGGCTTCAGCCCATCAGGGCCTTTGTTCAGGAGGCTTCCAGCCTCCTAGAGAAGCCTTTCTCCTGTCTCGACCTTCTTTTCAGGTTTCTTCCCAGAGAGATGACACTTCCTACTTTCTCTCCTCCCCAATTGACTTCACACAGCTCTTTATAGAGACAAACTCTCCTCTCCCGCCCCCTCGGGCTTTATTTCTAATTAGTCTTGACTCGCCCTCCAGGTGCACCCAAGCTGGTTAACCTGTGTGGGGTAAACACGCCATCACACCACTCCTACTTTTTTTTAATTGAGTAGCCATCAAGTTGATGCTGTCCCTTTAATGACAGTTTATAAGTTTGACAAGTTTACTGACTCAAACTGATGTTAATACAATTGTTTAGGTACAGTAATATGTTTCAATACCAGAAAAAGGTTCGTTTCATTAAAGGAGTACATTTATGAAATGTTTGAATAAAACAAACCAGTGACTAAGGGTATGTCTACACTGGCAAGTTTTTGCGCCACAAGTTATGCCACTTTTATTAAAACGCTGGAATTAAACTGCTGTTGCGTGTCCACACTGTGCTCATTGAGACGCTGGAGCGCATCTACATTAGCAGCTCTTGCAACGGCAAAGACAGCAGTGCATTGTGGTAGCTATTCCACTGTGCAACTGGCTGCAGGATGCTTTGGGATGATACCCCATGGGGCAGGCACAGCATCACATGATGCAGGTTTCCCAATCCCATTGTTCCATGGGCATCCTAAGACATTGCAAGCTGCTTTTCAACTGAAGGGGGGGGGGGGGGAGTGTGTGTGTGAATGGAGAGGGGGAGAGAGTGTGTTTTGTGGGACAGAGAGTTTGTCAGCATGCTGTCTTACAAGTTCGGACTGCGGCAGGAAGCAACAGGCACTGAGGCGGGGAAAGGGGAAACCCTGACATCAGCCCTCGCCTCCCTCCCTAGGCTCTCTGCACAGCAATCTCTCTCTCTCACACACACACACACACGCCTGCCTTTGTGTTTAACAGCAGGAACATTCCACATTAATGATTTGCCTTGTGTCCTGAAGCAGATCAGCACAGCCTGCAAGGGCTGTCAGAAACGGTGCTTTGAAAGGGGAGGGGCGCATGTCTCCAGGGCAGCCGAGTTCAAAACAATGAGCAGAGTGGTCACTTGAGGCATTATGGGACAGTTCTGGAGGCCAATTACAGCAAAGAAAGTAATCAACCGTCTACACTGGCAATAGAGCGCTGGAGCCTCTGCACAAATAGCCTTATGACTCTCGTCAACGTGGGTTTTTTGCAGCGCTGTAACTGAGGAGTTTCAGCGCAAAGTGGCTTGGCAGTGTGTACACGTCTGCAGTTTGAGCACAAAAAGCTGCTTTACTGCGCAGAAACTTGCCAGTGTAGACAAGTCCTAACTGAAATAGGTAAATTTATGATCTCTCTCATAAAACAGTAATTTATTTTTAAGACACTTAGAAGAACTGTGATGGAGCAGTGCACCACTTAAGACTGGAGAGTGACCCTCACTGAAACCATCTATAAAGCCGCCAGGGGAAAGAGAGAAGAAAAACCCAGTTGTAGGATGCGTAACACAGAGCTGGCTCTTTCCTTCCAGGCACGCAGGAGACCAAGCACCCTGACTTCAGAGCAGTAATTTTTTATGTATTTGTTATTAAACACACCATTCTGGGTTTCCTCTGGACCCAGAAGAAGCCAACAGTACTTCCTAGTAGACATCATTTTGGATCATGTGAGGGCTGCTATTTATATCACCGCAGACTATCATATGACTGGGTCATCATTGTAGCTTCCCAGTTAAATGAATGGGAAACTCCAAATATTAATTTGTTGGTTTAGTATTTTTTGTTCCAATTTGTTGTCTGTGTTTTCCTGGACACTCAGGATTAGTGTGGCCCCTTACTTACTCCTCTGTAGGGAAAACTGAAGTGGAAAATTGTTTTTCATAATTGACACTTTTTAAAAGGAAAAAGTATTAGAAAAAAATACAGCATGTAAAGGTGAAGAGGACTGACTGGCTGAAATCATGGGCGTGGTGGATCATGGGTGTGGTGGAGCCAGGGGCCTACATTAGACCTTGTCTAGATGAGAAAATTGGAACAGTTTAACTAAATCAGTGTGAAGCTAATTAAACTGTTTAGCTAAAGCAATTTAATCAGTTTCTAAACTGATTTGGCTACAATTTTCTCATCTAGACAAGGTCTTAGGGCTTGTCTACACTGGCACTTTACAGAGCTGCAACTTCCTCACTCAGGGGTGTGAAAAAACACCCCCCTCCGCAAGCACTGCAAGTTTCAGCGCTGTAAAGTGCTAGCGTTGACAGTGCACCAGCACTGGAAGCTACGCTCCCAGCCCTGGTAGCTACTGACCTTGTGGTGGTGTTTTTTTTATAGCACTGGGAGAGTTCCCTCCCAGCGCTATGCCACGACTACACGAGCCACGTTAAAGTGCTGCCACGGCAGCGCTGTAACATTGCTCGTGAAGACGTGCCCCCAGACTTCAGATCAAGCCAGGACTTCTCATGCTATAAAACTGGGTGGGTGGAGATTTTCATATAACTGCCATTTGTGTTTTTGACACTCTCTCCCTTGGTCTTTAGAAGGACAGATATAAATATTACCTGAATTTTGTTACCTGGACTTTCTAAGTCAAAGTAATTCACCTAATATGATACTTCAATATAAAATCCCTATTTTTAAATATAATGAACTTTGGTTTCTTTCTGCCTTTCTTCCCCTAGCTGATTTTAAACAAGTTAATGATCTACAGTTTCTTACTTACAACCGCCATGTGGCAAGGATACCTGTTTGAATCACAACATTCCTTATCCCCTCTTCCCCAGACCTGTTAGGGCTCCTCAAGAGCCTACATGTGCCCTCATGCCTCCTACCACAACATGGCATCATTTCTTTGTCTAAGGTGAGGAGATAACTGTGTTGCTCTATGGAGCAACAAGAATTGGGCACAGAGCGTTGCAAATTCTTTCAACACCACTGGGTTCTTTTACTGGGTATTGTTGACAGGCATTAAACGTTAGTGTAATATACAGAACTAGGTCAGACCTGCAGAGTTATTGGGATAGCTGAAATGGCAGAAGGAAATTGCACATTCCACAATATGAAATGTAGGTAATTACAAATAAATAACTAGCTCGTCCATTCAAAAACAGTTATACCTTAGGCTCAGGGTTCATTTCAGGTGATCTGGTTCTTCTCTTTCACTTCTTGGTGCCTGAGCGGTTGCCTGTCTCTTGTGGGATATATTTTTGCTTTTCTTTTCATTCATCTCTACCTCTTTTAGATCTTAACTTCTCTGTTTTTCCCTCTTCCTTCGTCATTCTCTGTCCTCTTCTCTCCTTCCTTCCTACTTGATTTTTAGCCCTTTCCCATTCTTGTGCTACCTCTTACCATTGAATGCATCCAATGAAGTGAGCTGTAGCTCACGAAAGCTTATGCTCAAATAAATTGGTTAGTCTCTAAGGTGCCACTAGTACTCCTTTTCTTTTTGCTCTTACCATTTTGGCTCTTTCCCTCATCTACATCATTTGCCAGACCTCCCTTGTCACATCCCACCACTTTGGTCTTTCTTCCCCACAAGCACTTCTACTATTACATTAACAACACATCTAGAGTATTGCGTTAGAACTAGCCCTAATTACATCTAATAACACAGTCTAATGTTGGAACTACTGAGTATTACAACTTATGCATCATGTTGACTTGAAAGGAAAAAAAATTGCCTGATGTATCAACAAAAGAAGCCTGAAGTGAACTCTGTAGGTTAACAGAACTTTACAAATGACGTTTCTAAATAGTGAAGACACCCTTCTAACAATTTAATATCTTACCTCCTTACAGGTTTTTGCATAGTTAAAAGCTTGAGACTGTCGATGAAACAGACTCCAAACAGAGCACGGTTGCCATGGTTTGGACAGCTGTGGCCTGTAAACAGGGCAAAGTGGCTTTCTTTTATATTGAGATGCTAGTTCATCAACATTCTTCAATCTTTCTTCCCATTTTCTCTTCATTTGTCCTAAAGTAGTCAGGAAATGAACCCTTAGTACTACGTTAAAAATAACTAAATCAAAAGCATTTTGCATGTGCTTCAATTTCTCATATACCTGTGGGGTGAGTTGCGTATTTGAGCATACTCTCTGTTTCATGACTAAGGGCAGCCTGTACTCCAAATCAACACGCAACTTAGCTGTGAAACTCCCGTTAATACTAAGTTCCCTGTGCTGGTTTGAGAATATATGAGAACGTCAATTGTATCAAGAATCAAGTTATAAATGGACAGGCCTATTTTATTATCCACACAACAGAAACAATTTAGAATAAGGGAAAATCTCAGGGTAACAAATGATATTTTGTTTATAGAATAGTATTTAATAATGCTTATATTTTCAAAATAATGTACAAATTTACATTAATTCATTCTCACACCATCCTGTGGAGTAGATAAATATCATACCTATTTTATAGATGAGGAAATCAACCAAGAGAAGTTAAATGACTTGTCTTATCACAGCAAGTCAGTACCTGAGTGAGGATTAGATCTCAGTGGCTTCTAGCTCCCAGCCCTATGCCCACAAGGCCCCATTGCCACTCAAATAGATAAAGCAAGACAATTCAAAACCAAGGGGCATCCTCAGCCTATGACCCATATCAGCAATGCTTTCAACTGCTTAATAATCTCAGTGCATGTTACTCTAATTTACTTATTCAATTATCTATGTTTTCACTGTCAGAATTTTCAGGACTTTGAAATAGTTAACTTACCAGTACTCAGAAAAGACATTTTGCCCAGCAGTGTTCACTATCACGCAACCTTCGGACTTCTAATCACATAAAGTATGCACATGATAGGAACTCTGAAAATCAATGCACAGTCAAAAAACTACATTAAATTTAACATTAGCATCACTACAGACAAGTTCCAATTTAATAATTTTATTCAGGGAAATTCCTTCCCCCTCAAAATTCTTACAGATGGATAAGAGTTAAGATTCTTGGAAAGCAGAGAGAATGGGAGGAAGGGAATTGGGGAAGATGTTATTACAGAGGTTGTTTTATTTAACCTACAAGACAAATCACCAGTACCACTATTCTGTTCCCCACCCTTTCTTGGATTATCCCTCACTGACCCCCCCTCCCACCTTTGTCTGACTCACAGCAATTTCTCAATGGCAACAGCTGTAGAATGAAACTGACTACTCATAGTAGAGAGACAAGGTGGGTGAAACAATATCTTTTATTGGATCAACTTCTGTTGGTGAGAGAGACAAGTTTTTGAGCCAAACAGATCTCTTCTTCAGGTCTGGGAAAGGAACTCTAGGCATCACAGCAAAATACAAGGTGCAACAGATTGTTTAGCATGAATAGTTAGCACATATTGTAAAGGAACATTCAAGATAAGGTGGCTTGTTAACACCTCTGTTAAAAAGAAAGGGTTAGTGGGTTACAGACTGTTGTGCAGGTTTCCCTTTCCTATCATCCTCAAAGAAAACCTGCACAACAGGTTTTACTCCTTCTCATAACACAAGAACTAGGGGTCACTAAATGAAATAGTCAGCAGGTTTAAAACAAACAAAAGCAAGTATTTCTTCACACAATGCACAGTCAACCTGAGGAACTCTTTGCCAGAGAATGTTGTAAAGGTCAAGACTATAACAGGGTTCAAAAAAGAACTAGATAAGTTCATGGAGGATAGGCCCATTAATGGCTATTAGCCAAGGTGGGCAGGAATGGTGTCCCTAGCCTCTGTTTGCCAGAAGCTGAGAATGGGCGACAGGGGATGGAGCACTTGATGATTATCTGTTCTGTTCATTCCCTCTGAAGCATCTGGCATTGGCCACTCTTGGAAGACAGGATACTGGGATACATGGACCTTTGGTCTGACCCAGTATGGCCATTCTTATGTAACACTTTCAAAATGTGAGCCTGGAAACGTAAATTCATTACTCTGCTAGACACCAAAAATCATGGACTGAACAGAGACACTGGATTTATGGCTTATTACAACAATCTGTAACCCACTAACCCCCTCTTTGTCTTATGACTGCAGTGGTGTTAACGGGCTACTCTACCTTGAATATCCCTTACAATATGTACTAATTATTTATGCTAAACAAACTGTTCCACCCCCTTGTATTTTGCTGTAATTCTTGGAGTTTCTTTCCTAGACCTGAAGACCACCTCTGTTTGGCTCAAAAGCTTGTCTCTCTCACCAACAGAAGTTGGTCTAATAAAAGATATTATCTCACCCACCTCGTCTCTCTAATATCCTGGGACCAACATGGTTACAACTACACTGCATATACTTATAGTACTATAATCAATCATGTTAATTCTATTCATCCAGCAGGCATCACTAGAGAGAGTCACACAGTATACCTCATCCATCCAGTGGCCAAGCATGTTGCTTCCATAATGCTTCCCAGACAATGTTTGCCTGCTGAGTGAGGTAATTATCAAGATCCCAAATTAATAGGTACTGCCAATAGACCACCAGGGCAGCCCACTTCTTTCAACAAGTTATCAGTTTCCTCCTGCTCCCTCAAGCCTCCTCAAGAAAGTACTTCCTCCACTTAACCCTTGTTCAGCAACACTAGCAAGAAATGCAGCTAACAAGTAAAACTATTTCCCCATGCTTATTTTCCCCCCATATTGTTACTCACACCTTGTAAACTGTTGGAAATGGGCCATCCTGATTATCAGTACAAAAGGTTTTTTTCTCCTACTGATAATAGCTCACCTTAATTAATCACTCTCGTTATAGTGTGTATGACAACACCCATTTTTTCATGTTCTCTGTATACATTTTCCTACTGTATTTTCCACTGCATGCATCCGATGAAGTGGGTTTTAGCCCACAAAAGCTTATGCTCAAATAAATTTGTTAGTCTCTAAGATGCCACAAGTACTCCTAATCAGTTTCATTTTGATGTTGCTGGCACTGCTGTGGATGCACTGCATGCAGGAGTACAATTAGGATTCTCCTTGTTGGCATTCTCCCACGAGAAAGTGTTTTAAGAAGGGAAGGAGACTATGTGGAATTCCAACAATCCCACGCTCAATTTAACTTCCTGGTTAGCTCAGAAAATGACTTTTCAAAAACACACGCACACCGTAGATTTCTGAATATGCATAGAAACAGTTGCTTCTCAATTTCATCTGAAATCTCTCTCTTTTCTCCTGACCAGCTGCTCTTTCAAGAAGATCTCAAAGACTGCGAGAATCCTAAATCTTTTGCCACCCAAATAAATGGCTACAGTCTCCTCTTGGTGCATGATAATTTATTTTTTAGAGTCTGCAGATTTACATGCTTCCTGTTAAACTTTTTGCTTTTACTGGGAAACTCCCACTCCATTTTTATCACATCTTCCAATGCAGAAATGGGGGGGGGGGGACTTTATTTCCTTCTTGGATAAGGATTAGAAATATTTCTCAGACATGATTTTAATTTCTTATTGTTTCGATTCATCTTTTAAGTATGCTCTTACTCATAACATGAAGATATTCAGTTGGAAGAAGTATCTCCTGAGAATTCATGTCACTTTCCTCTGACAAGGAGTCAGAAAATGAATCTAAGCACAGTGGAGACTTGATATTTTGCATAGTATCGTCTTAAATTTTTTTTATTTTAGAATTAATGGAACCAAATGGACTAAAGCACTTAGAAATGGAGATTACTGCCATAGAACAAGAGAAGACAGTAAACTCTGTTTGTATCATTATCGCATATGGAATTAGATCTTTGTAACTGGTTCAATAGTTACTTGAGAGTTTTTCATGATTCCCAAATAAAAGTACATCTGAACTCTTTTTAAACAGTTTTTTTAAAACCAGTTCAGGCTAATATGCTTAAACGACAACTTCCCTGGCCTGTGTGGACCAGGAATAATAGTTTGATGGTAGAAAACATAGGTTGAAAAATGGTCATGCATGGTCCACAGTGACCAAGCAACCCATGTTTGAAACGGATTCAAATGTTTTTTCCTCCCCTTAATAGAATGCTCTATATTTGCTTCCTCCTCCAGTGCTAAATTTCATAACCTGATAGAAAGAAAAGAAAGGAAGTATTTTTTTAAAAAGCACATTGTAAATTACTGGAAATATTCTCACTTACCCCAGGCAATCCCTCTGAGCAACAGAGCCTACAACTCCTATAGGAACAACATATTCTATGGAAAATCCTAGTTTCCAAAAGAAAAGGAGTACTTGTGGCACCTTAGAGACTAACCAATTTATTTGAGCATGAGCTTTCGTGAGCCACAGCTCACTTCATCAGATGTGTACCGTGGAAACTGCAGCAGACTTTATATACACACAGAGAATATGAAACAATACCTCCTCCCACCCCACTGTCCTGCTGGTAATAGCTTATCTAAAGTGATCAGCAGGTGGGCCATTTCCAGCACAAATCCAGGTTTTCTCACCCTCCACCCCCCCACACAAATTCACTCTCCTGCTGGTGCTAGCCCATCCAAAGTGACAACTCTTTACATAATCAAGTCGGGCTATTTCCTGCATAGATCCAGGTTCTCTCACTTCCCCCCCCACCCCCATACACACACAAACTCACTCTCCTGCTGGTCTAAACTGACCACTCTAAGCTATTACCAGCAGGACAGTGGGGTGGGAGGAGGTATTGTTTCATATTCTCTGTGTGTATATAAAGTCTGCTGCAGTTTCCACGGTACACATCTGATGAAGTGAGCTGTGGCTCACGAAAGCTCATGCTCAAATAAATTGGTTAGTCTCTAAGGTGCCACAAGTACTCCTTTTCTTTTTGCGAATACAGACTAACACGGCTGTTCCTCTGAAACTAGTTTCCAAAAGGAAACCTAAGGTCCTATTCAACATCCACCGACAACTGAGCCTTTTCTAGACAGGGGAGTTCCACCTAGTTCAAAAAACTCAAATACATGCAAATTATCTACTACTTACAGTTGCACTGGCTATGACAATGATAATTGGGTTTTTTGGCTTTTTCCCTTACTAACATTAATAAACCTGATGGAGAAGAAAAACTCTGTGCTGTGGCGAATTTTAAATTATACCAGAAAAACCCATGAATTATACAAGTCATTAAACTTCTCTGGCTGAGGCATATTGGAATGACATCCCTGGCTTGCAACAAAGCCAGGATATTCTGTAGAAACAAGAGTAAGCTCTTCATAATGGAGGGCCTGATTCTGAAAATCCTCACACATGAAGGTAGTCCAACTGAAGTCAAGATGTTTACATTCATGAGTAAGTTTTACTCACGTGGGCAATGATTTACCCACGTGGATTGTTTTGCCAACTCTTGTGATACTTCAAGTTTTTCTTAAAACTTCAGCTCCTGGAGTCACGAGAATCTCGGCTTTCATTTTTTTAAAATAGATGTTTAGACCTCATAGTTGCAGAGAAAGGCTGGAAAACATTAACCCTAATAGCTCAAAAACCAGAAGGCAAATAAAACTCTCTTTTTTATTTCATGATTTTAAAGCCAATCCTTATGATTTTGGGGGGCCTGCCTCAAGATTTTTGAACACTTTTTAGGGTTGGCAATACTGATTTAGCAGGAAATCAGATTGTAAACACCTATGGATAGGAACTCAGTCTTCCCATTTATCTGCTATGCACACCTTTGGAATGATGAAAAATATAATTATTCCTGATTTGTTCCATTGACATCTCTAGATCTGCTTCCAGTTCACAACCCAATTGTGGAGATTAGTAGATGATTGCTAGAGAAAACCAATTGCCTGCCCTTCTAGCCAAATGAAGAGTGGCAAATGTTTGCCTTGTGCTCATATACAACAGAGAAATTTGGGACAGAACAGTTTCCAGAAGGAAGGAAGGAAAGATTCTAGGAATTTAGATGCAGTAGTAGAGAACTCATATCTTAAAGCCACAAAATACAAAGTAGTTTGATAATTTGATCTATTATGAAAGCTCAGAACTTTTTTTTTTTTTTTTAAAAATCAGACCACTTAACTTGATCAATTAATGGAAAGTTGGGGGAAACCACAGCTAAGGGCTTGTCTACACTTAAGATGCTGCAACAGGGCAGGTGCAACACCGTAAGGCTTCAGGAGGACACTACCTACTAGACATATGTACTCCACCTCCCCAAGAGGCAGTAGCTAAATTGATGGGAGAATTCTCTCATCCACCTAGCACTGTCTATACCCAGGGTTAGGTAAGTTTAACTGCATTGCGCATGGGGTGTGGATTTTTCACACCCCAGAGCAACATAGTGATACATTCCTAGTGTAGACCATGCCTAATTAACTGAGTTTGGAATTCACCATAAACTCTAAACTAGTTGTTACTTTGAAGTAGGCACTTGATAAAGATGATGTGTAGATAATGTGGTTTCCAGTAGACAGAAGGGACTAAATTTAATCTCTCACACTTGTTGCTGAGTCATGCTATGAAGTATAAATTTTCAGCTGGAAACAACCTGTCAGTTTTCAGGCTCAGTACATCTAAGCAGTGGGAGATAAAACACATCATGAAGTGAAAACCCCACACTACTATATTTGGACATATACATATTTACTTAAATTTACAGAAACCAGCCAAGGTGCTCATCTTGCACTCCAGATACCCCTAACGATTATTTAAGATCATTATCAATACAAACAGAGAGGAAAGTAGCAATCCCACAAAATATAACAATAACTAAATAAACCGAAAATAAAGAAGTACCCCAGCCTCTTAAAACATCATTTCTCAAGCAGCACACAATATAAAAAAAAATTATCTCACAGTGCTGAACACAATTTGACCTAGTCTACATTTGTGGCTAAATTTTATCTTAATTGATTAGGTCCTGTCTGAACTAAATAAATTACCACTTTCAGTTTAGAGAGACAAGGTGGATGAGGTAATCTTTTATTGGACCAACTTCTGGTGGTGAGAGAGACAAGCTCTTCGCATAAGCATTTAACATGTTTCAAGGGACCATTCAATATGAAGTGGCCCATTATCACCTGTCCAGTCACAGGGAGAAAAGGAAGGGTGAGGGAAAGAGAGAGAGAGAGAGAGGGGGTGAGTTACAGATTGTTGTAATAAGCCATAAATCCAGTGTCTCTATTTAGTCCATGCTTTTTCCTGTCTTGAATGGCCCCTTGAAATGTGTTAACTATTTATCCCAAGTTTCAGAGTAGCAGCCATGTTAGTCTGTATTCGCAAAAAGGAAAGGAGTACTTGTGGCAACTTAGAGACGAACAAATTTATTTGAGCATAAGCTTTCGTGAGCTACAGGTATAGCGAACAGTGGCTTCCAGGACTTTGTGAGGGGTAAGTGAAGGCCATGTATCACAAGGAACTCTCGGGGAAGGAAGAAGGGGTAGTGACATTTTGCAAATCAGGGGTGGTTTGTATGGAGTAGGCTTAGTTTTTGAGTGTAAGCCAGCTGTAGGTAGCTTCTGTTTGCTACATACAGCTGACTTAAATCCGAATTTCACTGGAGCAAAAATAAATGGAGTGAAACTACATTTAAAGTGGATTACAGGAAACAAAGTATTACAGAGGCAATCAACGCACCAGCTAAAAGAAATTTGTGAGCTGCTATAAAGTTCTATGTGAAATATGAAGCAGACTTTACCCCTACATAAATTGATAAGGAATTCTTTTAGCACCGAAAACAGGTATGATGCGTGTGAAGAGTTTTCGGACGGTGGGTGTGAAATAGTTCACTGAATCAAGTCTCCTCTACAGCTCGAGATAGCAATTCAGCTTAAAAAACAACCAACCAACCAACTGCTGAGCCTGGGGCTACCTGTACCTTCAAGAACACCACTGGCGGGAGGCGCTGCGGAGAGGTTCCAGCCTGCGAGCCCCTCACACCCTGTTTTGGCCACCACGACAGCCCGCTCGCTCAGCTTGGGGTCACTTTTAGCGCCTCTGCTCCTTCCCGGCCCAGTCTGGCCGCACGTCTCCCCCTTTCTTAGCCCCACCTCCTGCCCCTAGGCGCGGGTTTTGGCGGCCTTCCTTTCTCCTTCCTCTCCCTATCGCCCCCGCCGGATATGCTAGCCCCCTACGCAAACGCTGCCCGTCCCTCTCCTCGTTCACAGCGCGGACACAGCCCTGCTGCCTTAGGGGGGCGCCCCCAGCCCGCCTGCGGGGGCCGCGGGCCGCGCTGCTAGGCCCGCTCCCGGCGGGACAGCTCGGGAGGGGCGTGCTGGACATAGCGTTACCGAACGGGACCCACCCGGCCAGGAGCAGGCCGAGGGGACGGCGGTAACGCCGGCCTGTGTGTCCGGAGTTGCCCCTCCCTACTGGGCGCACACTCACCTGGGGGGGAGACAAACAGGCCCGCCCGCGCTCAGAGCCCGCCTGGCCGCGTTTGAACCGGCCACCGCCCTGCGCCCGCCCCCTCTCCCGCCCCCTGCAGGGCGGGACCGGGGCGGAGTGAGCAGCCGCACGTTTGCAGTCTATTGTAGTCCGGGGCGGAGGGGCCAGCGGGAGGCCGGCGGCACGGAGCGGCGCGGCGGAGGCAGGTCAGTGGCCGCGCTGGACCGGGGCCGGGGAGCAGCGGTGGAGGCTGGGGGTCCCCGCGCGCAGGGCGCTGTGCCAGAGCCTGGCTGCTCGCACGGTGGCGCCGCCCCCGCTGAGCCCGGGCAGCACCTAGCCCCGCCGCCTTCGGGTGAACAAAGAGCCCGGGCGGCTCCGGCTGCTCCGCTCCCAGGGCCGGGCTCTGAGCAGAGCCGCGGGGCTCGCTCCGAGCCCGGGGCGCCGCGGGACGCTCAGGAAAGGGGGCTCGGCTCGTTCTCGCTGCCTCGCCTCCCTTGCGGGGAAGCAACAGACGATCCGGGGTTACTGCTCCAGGCACCTTCCTCCCTCGCCCTTCGCGAGCCGATGGGCTCTGCGAGCCTGGCGCCCGCCGCTGAAATGCAGCCTCTTCTGGGGTGCGAGGTGGCGTCTGTGCAGCGCGGCAGGATGAGGTTAACAGGGTTCCGAGGCTGCGCTTGGCAAGTCCCCGATGGCTCTTCCGGAATAATTGTGTGTTATCGACAGTTATTTCTGTATAAGGCGCTCTTATTGCAGCCCCAGCCCCTGAGAGCCTTTGTCCGGTTTAGCTTCATTCGTGTAGATTAGTTCTTTCGGAATAACAATTCCAGGAAATTTCCAAGTGTAGACAAGCCCGTACCCATAATGCCGTACAATGTCAAAATATGAAAGTAAAGTACTATTAAAAGTTAAAATATGGATGCAGTATGAATTCATGAATATGATTTTTTTCCCTCTAATGCATTGCAAGATGCTTTACTTTTCCTCCTGCATGCACAGCTAGAATAGACTAACCACTTTCAGTTTTCTAGAGTTTGTTTCTGGCTCTCATGTTCTTACACAGTGCTGAGGGAGAATGCTGAAATCTAATTTAATTGACTTTAAGGTTCTGTTTGGAAATAGTAATAATTAATTAAAATCCAGGTCTAATCTTTCAGGTCTGTCACTGTCAGCATATAGTAATACTAAATTGGAGTGTATACTCCTGAGGGTATTCTGCGCCAAAAAAATTAAAATTCTGTGCTCAATATTTTAAAATTCTGCAAATTTTATTTGTCAAATAAATGTGGAGTCTCCTGCATGGCACTGGGGAGCACAGGCTGCACCCGACCCTGATACAGCACTAGGACGTGGGCTGCCCCAGAAACACCCCAGGGCCCTGCCCCTCTGTGTGGGTAGGCAGGCTCAGTAAGGCAACATCCAGGTGTGAATGGGGCTTAATGTGGGTGGATCCAGGTGTGGGTTGAGAGGGATATGGATGCACAGGGGCTTGTTGAGGGGTTCTGGGTGCAACGGTAATGGGACTCTGCAAGGGGGTCCAAGTGAAGGTGGTTGGGCTCAGTAGCAGGTTGTGTGTGTGTTGGGGGATAGAGTTCAGCATGGCTTTCTGGGTGTGGGGGGCTCAATGGGGGGGTTCAGATGCTAGGGGTGTGGAGCTCAGTGGGGTTGGGATCCAGGTGCAGCTGGTTCTGGCTCAGTGAGGTGGGGATCCGGGTGCAGGTGGCTCGTCGGGGTGGGCCAGGTACCTGGGGAGTGGGACTCATCGCAAGGGGGAGGTCTGAGTGCAGGGGAGTGGGTGAGGCTCAGCAAGAGGGTCTGAGTATGAGAAGGTCTGGATGCATGGGGGTTGGGCGTCTGGGGGAGCAGCTCCCTGTACAGGAATCCCTCCCGCTGCAGCTGAGGAGCAATGGGTGCAGGAAGTGTATGTGGGGGCTGGGGTTTGCAGAGCTTCCTGCAGCTGGGAGAGAAATCTGAGGGTGGATCTAACCAGGCCCTAGGTGCCTGCAGGGGAAGAGGAAGTCCCGTCCTGCCCAGCTGGGACTAGCAGCTGAGCCTGGTGCAGGGTAGGAGCCACCAGCTGGGTTTTACAAGTTCTGCCTCTTGCCCCCCAGTGATTTACCTCTCTGCCAGCTGCTCTGGGCACCCAAAACATACTGCTGGGGAAGGTTGCATGACCACTCTTGTGGCTTCCCTTTGCTTCCCTTTCAGAAGGTCATTTTTCTGCAGGGAAGCAAAGCAATTCGCGGAGGACATAAATTCTGCGCATGTGCAGTGGCACAGAATTCCCCGAGGAGTAAGTGTATGACAGAAAATTAGCAGTGGCATTTACCCAGGTTGTCTACTAGAGAATCTTCAATGACTTCTGCTGGTCAGCTCCGGACATCAGTTTTAAATCTCACCTGAAAAATGGTACCTCCTCAACTCGTTTCTCCAGAGCACAGTGCTGGGGCATTGGAGGTGTATTGTCTAAGACCCATTCTACAATCAGATCCACACAGGCAGCCATGTGGATCCCTGTTGAAATCAGTCTGTGTAGATAGGTCTGCCCACATGTATCTGAGTGCAGGATTAGCACTTTAGAAGGAAAAGGGTTAGCGTCTGCTCTGTCACTGACACTTTGTGACTGATTGGTGAAATTATAACCTTACAGTATATAACTGGACCCAAGTGCCAATATTCCATTGGCTTCAGTAAGCCTCTGAACAGGCACAAGGATCCATCTACACAACACAAAACTCTACCTATCTATCGCTACATATCACCATAAACTACCACCAATAGAGTCCAGTGGTTGGACGAGATCAGCTTATGGATGAAGAACATCTGATAAAAACTGAATCTGAGCAAAGAAGAGCTTATGCTGCTGGGCAAAGAAAGGAATTTTGAAAATTGTGCAACCATGGTGCCATCTCCTTTGATTGAAGATACACATCCACAATTGGTCAGTTCCATCTGTAGTTTAGGAGTGCTCCTGGATTCCTTGCTGATGCTAAATTCTCACATAGCAGAATCCATCAGTGACTTTTTACCATCTCTGGTTGGTTAGGAGACTGCCAACAATGAGTTAAATACAGCTATACAGGTCTTTGTCACCTCTTCAGACACTGTGAGACTTTCTACCCTAAAGTTAAAGCACTTCTGTGCAGGACATAGGACTTTCTCAGGGGCCAGTTGAGATTGTGCAACAAACTCCCACTGGAGCTAAGGACCATCACAAACCTCACCACCTTCTTCTGCTCCAACTGCAAGGCACATTTCTTCAACTCTGACTTCACTAATATAAATGCATAGCAACGTGTGCCTTTAAAACAAACCAAAAGCCTAACAAAATAAAATACTACAGAGTACACATAATTCTCCCTCTGGGGAGAAGATGAAAGAGAGAATAAACCATACATTGCTTAATGCACTACTGAAGTGGGCTTAGAAACTACATTGAGTTCAGTATAAAAACCTGTATACAGGGAATTCTGGGACTTATGACACAATTTGTTCCTTAGAATTGCGTTGTAAGTTGAAACGTTGTAAACTGAAACCGCTTTTCCCATAGGAATCAATGGTTTGAAAGGGGATTGGTTCCTGAACCAAGGCTTGATACACTATTTTCACCACAGTAACCGAGTTTTTTGTATTAAATGAATTATAGATGACTAATGTTGCAATATCAATGTATTTACTATATACTGTATTTTGTAAACAGCATTCAAATAAACACATACACCAGGGGTTGGCAACCTTTCGGAAGTGGTGTGCTGAGTCTTCATTTATTCACTCTAATTTAAGGTTTCATGTGCCAGTAATTGTAATGTTTTTAGAAGGTCTCTTTCTATAAATCTTTAATATATAACTGAACTATTGTATGTAAAGTAAATAAGGTTTTTAAAATGTTTAAGAAGCTTCATTTAAAATTAAATTAAAATGCAGAACCCCCCCGGACTGGTGGCCAGGACCCGGGCAGTGTGAGTGCCACTGAAAATCAGCTCACGTGCCGCCTTTGGCACGCATGCCATAGGATGCCTACCCCTGGTATACACTCACATGTGCTGCTCAGAATGCCAGCAACATGGGCTCTGAAAGCCAGGGAGAATGGCACACATGCTGAGCCATTGTTCAAGCTTTGTGATTGGCTGAGCCCAGGGTCAGGAGCCAGTTAAAAACAATCGGCAACCCTACCCAGCAACAAGCTACCCTGCTACCTCAAAGCCAATCAGAAGCAACTCCTTCCAGCTCCATACCAGTATAACGCAACCAGGAAGTATTTCAAGCAGACTTTATGCAACTCAAGCGTAGTAAGGGGAAAAACAAGCATCGTAGGGGCAAAATGGGCAGTCAATTGAAAAGCGTTGTGAGTGGCATCTGACATAAGTTGGGCATTGTAAATCCGAGGACTCTTTGTAGAATAGAAATAAGCCTTGATCTATCTTACTGTATAGAACTTACAGAGGAGATTCTATGGCAGGAGCGGTCAACGATTTTTTTGTCAAGGTCTAAATTTCTTGGTCAAGGTATAGTCAAGATCCAGACCAGCGAAAATAACAACAATAATGATAATAAATAAATAAAAATATTTTTGGGTCCATTCAAAAGTGTCTGGCAGTCTGGATTTGGCCCATGGTCTACCTGTTTACTACCCCTGCTCTATGAAGTAGCCTAACACCC